AAGAAAAAACATAAAGTGATGTAATTAATCTCGAATTAATAAAAACAAAAGAAAAGCACTTTACTTTAAAGTTTAAACTCAAGTCAAATGTTAGGATGACATCAAAGTAGACTCCTGATGTTAAGGCGGTCTGCACGTTCTATGATTATATATTTTTCCATGTGGATACACGTTTTTGTATGTTTTTCCTAATTTGTTTATGAGATTAATAATTTCAAAAAACAGACTTTGCATTATTGTATAATTTCTATTGTTTTAGATAAAATAAGAGTCCAACTAGGGTTGGCTTAGTTTATAAGATCTTTATTTTATGTGTCGTCCTATCAAGGTTCAAGTTTTGTTGTCACCGTCCTTATTGGTGCGTGATCTATAAATTTATACGTAAATCTATATCGATGTCAGCTGACAGTTATGTGCTATTGATAAATCTTTCAGACTTGAAGTTGTGAGTATACCTTGACACTAATGATGAGAGTAATCAATCTTTTTCTAAACTTCTCTATGAATTGGACCTACATCAAATAACAGTAAGTGAATTATGTGAGGTCTACGAGTAATGTAAAAATGGATTAGAATTCTCTCCCCTTATATTTCCATCCCTTTCCATCATCTCCTTTTACATTCTCTATTTTGTCTTTCTCTTTCTACAAAAAATGAACATAAGATATTAACGTAATTTAACCATGACCGTTCAAATATGAAGGAAAGGGAGGAAAAAAAGAAAGGAGATAATCCTACTCCTGTGAAAGTAGCTTTGGTATATAAAAAAACAATCAATATAAGAAGTCAAAATTTATAGAATTTACAACATTTTGGCATCATGCAAAATGGCAAGTGGCATTGAGGCCATCTTCGTAAGGTGACCATATTTTGTATTTATTATTCAAAAGAGGTGACGTTGATTTCCATTTTCTCTACTTTGATGGTATGATTATTTTAAAAAGGTTCAGCACTTGTACACCAAATTTGGTGATCCATAATTTCTAAGGAATTTTAACGAAATGTTTCTAGTACTGTTCATTTTAACGAAAAATTATATTTTTACACTAAAAAGTTAATCCTAGTACTATTCACTTTACCTATTATTTTGTTATTATCATTAAAACTTAAAGCTTTTAAGCTATTTTCATTAGTTTTCCTTAATTTCTTTTCGTGTTTACATGTAGCTTCTCTACAACTTTGTTTTTTGGTCGGCGCTTTACCTAATACTCCAGTCAAGTTGAATTTTTTAGTGTGTCAAAACAGTGATATAGTATACTACACATTAAGTATCATATATAATTAATTAATTTTTTTAAGTTTTCAATCAATTGTATTCTTACACTAGTATATCAAATCGTGTTCCCAACGAAAGATTTTTCAGTGTGATCGGCACATAGGATGATACATCACGTGTCACTATACAAATGATAGAATATGTGTGTTAAAAAAATAACTTAGAAAATAAAATTTTCAACCACTTACATAAAAACACATTGTGTACCACCCGTATTCCCGTCACAATGAAAAATTTCTCGTTCGCAACACATTGAAAAATCTTTCTAACTTTAAGAGCATTTTCAGTAATCCTCGTTTTTTTGAGAATTTGTTTTTATAATTTTTATTTAAAGGTTAAACTTAGAAAAGATCATTCAAAGTTTATACTTAGACAAGATCACTCGAAACGGTGATTGTTTAGTTATCTAAATGCATCAAATATATGAGCGGTGTAAGTATCAAATAACATATTAATTATGTGTGTCCATTTATCAGATTCTGCACTTGCAGTATAGTTAATTTTACATGCAAAAGTGAATAATCACCCTCCGAAAAGTATAGTACTGAAGTCATGTCCTTGTGCATCAAAACTGGTCTTGCGAAATTCATCATATTTATCGTGAAATTTTTTTTGTTGTTGATAATCTGGCTCGTTTGTGTTTATCATGCAGTTAGGGTCCAAACTTTTTTTAACAAGTTCTTCATTGTTGTCAATTGTTAATTGTAGATATAACTAAGATCTTTGATCTCGTAATATTCTTATGTAATACTTCTTTTCCTTTTGGACTTATGCCCCATTTACAACAAAAATAATTAGTGTGCCAAATGACTTCTCATTTATCTGTCGAGTTACATGGGCACCTAACCTTTTTGTTTGTAATTTACCTTCTCTCCAAGCCGTCAGTCTAGTTTCTACTTTGAAACTTTGGCCAGTTTTTCAATTAATTAATTAATAAATTAATTATTCTAACTTTTCACTCACTCCTTTAAACAGTTGACTCCGTTACACATTTTGTTTGGTAGTTTTCGTGGATAGCTTAATGTCTAAAAGAATCTTTGAACCTGTCAGTATCCAACAAAGGTTGTCATCTGCTTCAAAACAGATTGTGTTTTGCCAGATTTGTATACAATCTTCACTGTTCTTCCTGTTATTTGAAATTTTCCATAATTTTAGAGAGAGAGAGAGAGAGAGAGAGAGAGAGAGAGAGAAACCTCTGCTATTGAACTCTCAAGAGTGTATCAGATTTGTTTTGGAGCTCATTTGATCTCAAGGGTGACATTTTTCACTTCTCCAATCAATTCTGTTTCTGGGTTTCCATTAAACTCTGTTTCTGATTAATTAGTTGAATTCCTGTGTGAAAACCCTGATCCTTTTGGTCCCAATTGAGCTCAAGAAACCCTAATTCCTTGGGTTCCCCGGTAAATTTCCCAACTTTATGATGATGGGTTGTTTTAAATTTGATCTGTTCATCTGGATTTTTTCTGTATTATGTTTGGGATTGTTGTGCAGTGGATTTGTTCTTGCTCACAATTACCTTAATGCAAATAATATCGTTTGTTAAAGAAAAAACATAGAATGATGAAATTAATATCAAATTAATAAAAACAAAAGAAAAGCGCATTACTTTAAAGTTTAAACTCAAGTCAAATGTTAGGATGACAGCAAAGTAGACTGCTGATGTTAAGGAGGTCTGCACGTTATATGGTTATACATTTTTCCATGTGGATACACGTTATTGGATGCTTTTCCCAATTTGTTTACGAGATTAATAATTTCAAAACACAGACTTTGCATTATTGTATAATTTCTATTGTTTTAGATAAAATAAAAGTCCAACGAGGATTGATTCAGTTAATAAGGTCTTTATTTTGTGCGTCGTCTTATCAAGATTCGAGTTTTGCTATCATCAGTTTTTATTGGTGTGTGAATTGTAAATTTATATCGGTGTAAATTTATACGTAAATCTATATCAATAGGACAGTTAGGTGATATTCATAAATCCTTCAAGTTCAAAATTATGAGTATATCTTGATGCTGATGATGAGAGTAATCAATCTTCTCCTAAACTTTTCTATGAAACTCGACCTGCATAAAATAGCAGTAAGTGAATGATGTGAGGTCTGCGAGTAATGTAAAAATAGCTATGGTATGAATAAAACGAATATAGAAGTCAAAATTTATAGAATTTACAACATTTTGATATCATGCAAAATGGCAAGTGCCATTGAGGCCATCTTCATAAGGTGACCATATTTTGTATTTATTATTCAAAAGAGGTGACGTTGATTCCATTTTCTCTACTTTGATGGTATGATTATTTTAATAAGGTTAAGCACTTGTACACCAAATTTGATGATCCATAATTTCTATGCGTGTTTACACGTAGCTTCTCTACAACTTGTTTTTTGGTCGGAGCTTTACCTAATCCTCCACTCAAGTTGAGTTTTTTAGTGTGCCGAAAAAATGATATAGTATACTGCGTATTAAGTGTCATAATACAATTAGTTAATTTTTTTTAATTAAAGTTTTCAACAATTTATATTCTTACACTAGTATATCAAACAGTGTTTCTAGCAAACAAAAAAATCTCTCTAACTTTAAGAGCATTTTCAATAATCCTCCTTTTTTGAGAATTTGTTTTTTTAATTTTTATTTAAAGGTTATACTTAGAAAAGATCATTCCAAGGTTGTACTTATAAGAGATCACTCAAAACGAATACAACAAATATAGGAATGATGTAAGTATCAAGTAATATATTAATCATAACGTGTCCATTTATCGGATTTTGCACTTGCATTATAGTTGATTTTACATGCAAAAGTGGATAATCACCCTCTGAAAAGTTTAGTATTGAAGTTGTGTTCTTATGCATCAAAATTGGTCTTGTGAAATTCATCATATTTATCATGAAAGTTTTTTTGTTGCTGATGGTTTGGCTCGTTTGGATTTATAATGCAATTAGGGTTCAATCTTTCTTTTAGCAAATTCTTCATTCTTGTCGTCAGTTGTTAATTGTATATATAATCAGAATTTCGTGACTTTGTAATATTCTTATGTAATACTTCCTTTCCTTTCGGACTTATGCCCCGTTTTCAACAAAAATAAATAGGTTGCCAAATGACTTCTCATTTTTCTGTCAAGTTACATCGACACCTAACCTTTTTGTTCGTAATTTACCTTCTCTCCAAGCGGATAGATTTTCGTCACTCTAGTTTTTGGACAAGGATTGTCTGCCCTCCTGTGCCTTTCTATTTGTGTGGTCACGGTTAAGTCGCGTCAACATTTTATATTACTATTTATTTTTATCTTATTATCTCTATAAAAAAACAATATACAATATTGACGTGATTTAACCGTGACCACACAAAACAGGAGGGCACGAAAAGGCACCAGAAGTGGAAGGGCAAACAATCTTTGTCCCTAGTTTCTACCTATGCAACGTCAATACTTCTGAAACTTTGGGCAATTTTTCAATTAATTAACTAATAAATTAAGGAATGTGCTATCCACACATCTCATTTTACTTCCCACACACCCCTTGATAATTTTTGTTTGTTGATTTTTTTCAATTCATCCAATCTGACGGTCAAAAATTAAAAAAATATGTAAGAAGTAAAATGAAATGGGTAGATATCACATTGCTAAATTAATTATTTTAACTTTTCATTCACTTCTTTACATATTTGACTCCGTTTCCCATTTTGTTTGGTAGTTTTCGTGGATAGTTTAATGTCTAAAAGAATCTTTGAACCTGTCAGTATCCAACTAAGGTTGTCATCTGCTTCAAAAAAGCTTCTGATTTGCCAGATTTGTATACGATCTTAACTGTTCTTCATATTATTTGAAATTTTCCATAATTTTAGAGAGAGAAAGAGAGAGAGAGAGAGACAAAAAAAAAAAAAAAAAACCTCTGCTATTGAACTCTCAAGATTGTATCAGATTTGTTTTGGAGCTCATTTGATCTCAAAGGTGACATCTTTTCACTTCTCCAATCAATTCTGTTTCTGGGTTTCCATTAAACTTCTGTTTCTGATAATTAGTTGAATTCCTGTGTGAAAACCCTGATCTTTTTGGTCCCAATTGAGCTCAGGAAACCCTAATTTCTTGGGTTCCTCGGTAAATTTCCCAACTTTATGATGATGGGTTGTTTTAAATTTGATCTGTTCATCTGGGTTTTTTCTGTATTGTGTTTGGGATTGTTGTGCAGTGGATTTGTTCCCGCTGACAATTACCTTATAGACTGTGGATCACTTGCCAATACTACAGTGGGTAAATGTGTTTTTCTAGCTGATAACTTGGCTTCCAAATATCTTTCATCCCCAAAAGGTGTTGTTGCCAATGTTTCTTTGAAATCAATCACTTCCTTTGATGATTCGCCGCTGTATCAGACAGCGCGAATCTTCCCAGAATCCTCCAAGTACACCTTTCCCATAAGCCAAAGCGGTAGGCATTGGATCCGCCTTTACTTCTATCCGTTTACTTTTGGTAGTTACGATTTGAGCAAGGCCAAATTCTCTGTTTCCGCCCAAAACTTTGCGCTCCTTACTGATTTCAGTGTTCAAAACACTTCTCTCAAAGAATTTTCGGTGAACGTGACTTCAGATAGCCTTGTTATCACCTTCACCCCTTCCAGCAATTCGTTCGCATTCCTAAATGCGATAGAAGTTGTTTCAGTACCCGATCAACTCATAACTGATGATGCCAGCACCGTGTCTGAGAAATTCCAGGGTTTGACGAATCAGGCTCTGGAAACAGCTTGGAGGGTCAATATGGGTGGACCAAGAGTGTCTTTCGAGAATGATACCCTGTGGCGAACTTGGGTTCCTGACCAAAGTTTTCTAGTAAATGAGAACCTTGCCCAAGATTTCTCGAACATTGCAGCTGTTAAGTATGAGGCTGGTTTGGCAACTGCAGACATTGCTCCACAAACCGTCTATGGAACCCTCACTGAGATGAACTCAGCAAATAATCCCAACAGCAATTTCAATGTAACCTGGGAGTTCACGGTGGATCCAGGGTTCCAATACCTTGTTCGATTTCACTTTTGCGATGTAGTAAGTAAAGCTCTCAATCAGCTGTACTTCAATGTTTATGTTGACTCTTCCAATGTTGCTCCAGATCTCGATCTGAGTTCTGTAGCATTTAATAAGTTGGCTGTTCCATATTATCTGGACTTTGTTACAGCTTCCACTGTCAGAAATAAGCTGCGTATTAGTATTGGCCCCTCTGCTGAAAACAATGCTTATCCCAACGCCATTCTAAATGGGCTCGAGATTATGAAAATGAACAATTCAGCAGGCAGCCTCAGTGGAGCCAACTCAGTTTCTTCTTCGAATCCAGGTTCAAAAAGTAACGTTGGAGTAATTGTGGGTGCCAGCGTTGGGTCATTTATTGCAGTGGCATTGGCTGGGGTTCTCTTTGTTCTGTGCAGAAGAAGGAAGAGACTGGCAGACCAAGGCCATTCTAAGACTTGGATTCCCTTTTCCATGAACGGAACCAATTCTCATACCATGGGAAGTAAATACTCATATGGAACAACTGCTAGTGCTGCTTCTAACTACAGCTATCGTTTTCCTTTTGGGGTAGTACAGGAGGCTACGAGTAACTTTGATGAGAGCTGGGTTATTGGAATCGGTGGTTTTGGGAAGGTATACAAAGGAACCTTGAACGATGGAACCAAAGTGGCTGTCAAGAGGGGAAATCCAAGGTCTCAACAGGGACTTGCAGAGTTCAGGACTGAAATTGAGATGCTATCTCAATTCCGTCACCGCCACCTTGTCTCATTGATTGGGTATTGTGATGACAAGAATGAGATGATTCTGATATATGAATATATGGAGAACGGAACCCTGAAGGGTCATCTCTATGGCTCAGGTAACCCCAGCTTAAGTTGGAAACAAAGGCTTGAAGTATGCATTGGATCAGCTAGAGGACTTCACTACCTTCACACTGGTTATGCAAAAGCAGTTATTCATCGTGATGTGAAATCGGCAAACATCTTGCTTGATGAGAACCTCATGGCCAAGGTTGCTGATTTTGGGCTTTCTAAGACGGGGCCTGAAATTGATCAAACCCATGTCAGTACGGCGGTGAAAGGGAGTTTTGGATACCTTGATCCTGAATATTTTAGAAGGCAACAACTGACTGAGAAATCAGATGTGTATTCATTTGGGGTGGTTTTGTTTGAGGTTCTTTGTGCAAGACCTGTTATAGACCCGTCTCTTCCGAGGGAAATGGTGAACTTGGCTGAATGGGCAATGAAATGGCAGAAGAAGGGGCAGTTGGAGCAAATCATAGACTCAACTCTTGCAGGCAAAATCAGACCAGATTCTCTGAGGAAATTTGCAGAAACCGCCGAGAAATGCTTGGCCGACTATGGTGTTGACAGGCCCTCCATGGGAGATGTGTTGTGGAACCTAGAGTATGCCCTTCAACTTCAAGAGGCAGAGATTCCAGGCGACACCGAAGAAAATAGTACCAATATGATTGGCGAGCTATCCCCACAAGTCAACAACTTAAATAACGTTGATACAAGTGACTCTGCTGCACAATTTGAAGTCTCGAGCGTGGATGATCTTTCAGGTGTTTCTATGAGTAAAGTGTTCTCACAGCTGGTGAAGTCCGAGGGTAGGTAACTGTTCCAAGATAGTATATGCTACGAGTTTAGCATCTCCTTCAGTAAACACTTCTTTTGTGGTAGTTTGCTGATTGAACTTGATGAAGCATTCTGAGTTCTCCTTTTGTACAGAAGGGGGTGGCGGTTTGAGTGTGTTTTAGATTCATAAGGATCTTGTGTAACTTGTTATTTCTCATTCATGTTCCATTCCACACTGTATGAGGCAAAGGTTCAGGGGATGGCTCCGTAGACCCTCCTTCTCCCAGCTATCTGTCGCGTGTAGTTCATATGATCGGTGACTGAGAGGAAGGGCGTATGCGTATCCCACTTCAGACTTTCACCATATGAAAGGCGGTAAAAGTTTCATTTTCGTACTCTTCCTTCTACGGATTTTAGTTTATTTTGAGTGATATTTTGCGTGATGTTTTGTTTGTCGTCGATTGGTTCTTCAATAGAAAATAGAACAAGAGGAAACAGTTTCAGGTGCTTCTCTCAAACTCCCTAGTAAATGGATGTGTTTTATACAGAGAATGTAGAAACAAAAATGATCAAAACTATAATTTCTTCCCCTCTAGTTTTTTACACTTTCTATGTATCGAAACATTAAGATATAATGGACTTTCCTATTCTTTTTCCTTTTTCTAGTGAACCTGTAGTTGCATTCCTGCACGTTCATTGTATCATATATCTTTGTCATTGACTTGCACTCGAGTTCCAATTAGTAGTTTAGAATATGGCATCGTTCGACAAAAATAACAAAGGAGATGATTTTTACACCTACAAAAAGGGTGAGCGTTTATCGTTTCTCTTGTTAATAAAGCAAAGTCTTGTAGCTTAAATGATTATTAAGAGCATTTACTTCTACGCTCGAGTCTCTCCTCAACAGTTCATGTTAAATCGTTCAATTTTCTATTGAGATGCATGCCACTAAGTCAATATATACGCTCGATATGCAGTCAATGTAAAGTCCACAAGGGATGTACACCATGTTGTAAGCTGTGCACTGGATTTCAAAATCATCAAGAAAAAAGAAATACAGAACCGAAACAACACCCTACGGTTGAAAATTTTCATCTAAATAAACGTCATTCGGATGAAATCCAGCAGCATTTGCAGGACGACAAGGCGCTTGTTCGTGTGCGTGTTCCATACATTCTTCATCTCGTTGTCAGTTCTCCCCGTCAACAGAGACGATATAGCATCCCACCCGAAATTTAGTTTTTGATACAAGAAAGTTATAAGCAAAAGGAGTAACTGTTACAAAACCTTCCTCTAGGCAAAGCCTGTGCAGCTGGAAGTTACAAACGCCCTGTTCCTCAACCGGATTTAGGTTGAAGTCCTCTTGATAACAAACCGCAAAAGAGATCCCTCGCAGATTCAACTTTCCCACAGTGGCACAGCCCTCCGATAAGAATATTGTAAACCGCAACATTTGGATCCAATTTCTTGGCTCTCATCTCTTCAAACAATTCAATTGCCTTCGACAGTTGCTGGTTTTTGCATACGTTTGAACATCTGGAAGTTGCCGCAACCCTGCATCTGAGAGCAATTTTTCTGCATCTTGTAACTTCCCCACTTTGCAGAAAACGTCCATAAGAGTGTCATAAGTAACCACATCCGGAACGAGCATCCGAGCCTCATCTATCCTTCTATGCTTAGAAAAGCCATTTATCAATATGTTGTAACCACGAGCATTAACCATGGAGCCCTTGCTAAGCATTAGGTCAAAGACTTCTTTCGCCTCTTCCATTTCTCCACGCAAGCAGTCACCATCCAATTGTACGTAACTGCGTTAGATTCATTATCTCTTTGGATCATCATTTCTACCACATTTTTTGCTTCCCCAACAAGCCCCTCCTTACAAAGTGTATCTACCAACACGTTGAAGGTGTGCAAATTTGGAAAGATATTTTTGCTCACCATTTCATTCAACAATCTAGTATCTTCTTTCCACTCCCCTAATTTGCAAACTCCATGAATCAAAGATTCATCGCATCAACAAGACAACAACCATAGTATCTTTACAAAGACCGTCGATGATCGTGTTATAGGAAACAATGTTAGGCTTAAAAGCTCCTTCCACCATCTTCCTAATCAACTGAATAGATGCGTGGTTGTCACCTTTCAAGCAAAATCCCTTTATTAGTGTGTTGAACGTGATCACATTGGGTTTACAGTTACCACTCTCCATCATTTTATTGAAAAGTCCTGCTGCCTTAGCCAACGGCGGAGCTACTAACAAGGCTATGGTGGGCTCTAGTATAGGGAGAGTTTTGTAGGGGTGAAGTCAATTTCGATTTCAAAAGATTTTAATACTCTTTTAAGTTACGGATTTCATAGGATTACGTAGACTTCTATAAAATCCATATGGATTTTGGAAGATTTGAGAAGATTCGTATAATAGATTTCTATGGATTTTGATGAACTTATGCACTGCTTAATCATGATCTTCAAATAGATCAAATGATGATAAATGTGCCAAGGTTATAAATCTAATCAAATTGTCACAGCAACCATTTTTCATCCACAGCTTGTCCCCTCCCTCTTATGCTATTTTTGTCAAATGTTTTCTGGGCAATTATATAGAGCATTCACACAAAGTAATGCCTCTCAGTTACATCTCTCATTCACATATAAATCTTGATTTCGAAAACCTGACAAGAACGAATCGATACAACTAGACACAAAGAGAGAGAAATGGGAAATTACCAGTAAAAACACATTTCATATCAAAAGAACAACACCAACAACAAAACCCCGTAAAATCAACAACAAAACCTTCATACTTCTTACGCAACAAAAAGCCTCATACTGTTCACAAATAGTTTTTCAAATCAAAGGAGAAAAGTCTACAAACCATAATCTTCAGAAAAATCATCCAAAAAATAAAAAATAAAAAAAATGGAAATTGACCAATATATGCATACCCAGAAAGAGTGGGACCCAAGAACACAATGTAGAAGAAAGGTCCCGGAGTTCAATTTGGTGCTTATATCGGCTTGGGAGAGAGAAGTCAAATTGAAGCTTTGAAAAGAAATCCTTGGGGAGGAGATGAGATTCTTTGTAGCCTTTGTTATGCATAAAATTTACTCTTAAATTCTACAAAATCCTTTGCTCAAAGAAATCTCTCAAAATTTATGACATTTTGAATACCTACAGATTTGAATGGACTTTTTAAAATCTTAATCAATTATTGTTGGATTTGAATGTATTCTTCAAAATCCTGTTAAATCTTAAATTGATTACACCGTAATTTCAAAGTCTTTTAATTTTTTTTTTTAAAACTTAATTGACTACATCCAAATTTTAATATCTATTATCTTATTAAATCCTAAATTGACTACCTCACTTAAATTTTTTTAAGCTTAAAAATACTAATTGTTTGGGTAATTTTTTTTTATTTTTAATTGTTATAACCCATGCAATATGTACACACACACAAGCCTGTTAAAGAATAAAATATAATTATTAACATTATTTTAATCAATTCAAAATCCATACGAGTCCTAGATTCTAGAGATAATGATCAACTTTTAATATTTTAATATTTTATTCTATTCAATACCGTACGGTTTTAGATTTTCTAGGAGTAAGTAATTATTAGTTTTCATTATTTTATTGTTTTATTCATTTGTTTTGATGTGATTTTAAAATAATGGAAAATGTTTTTAGTGAAAATCATTTGGGAACCGATTCTTAATAAAAATGCTAATAAATTCTGAAAAGCATTTAAAGTGCTTACTGAAAAAAACACATAACTTGTAAAAATCACTTAAAATGCTTTTAAAATCTAAAAACATTTTTTCTAAAAATACTTTCAGTTATTTTAAAATAACATCCAAACGAGCCATTGCATATTTCTTAGCACGTTTTTCGGTTGTTTCAAAGGCATAGGAGCCTCTGAAGTCTGCATGCGTGAAAGTCTACTAATTTTCTCATCAATTGTAAAGTTTTCTTGCCACTTTTTTTTTCCTAATTCATGATTTGTTTATTTGTTTATTGTTTGAATTTTAAAATGCGTACTCGAAATTTGTTAGGTATAATTTATCATATAATTGTGTTATTATTGGTCAATTTGTTAGGTCTAACCATTTGTCTAATGAAGAGATTTATAAGTATCAATTCATTTTTAAGAAAAAGAAATAATGATAATAACTAGAGAGTGATGATACACCTTCTGCAATTATTGAAGAGTCCTAAAGGTATTATTTGATTGAGAACCCACATTGTCACATCCCCGGTTCGGGACGGATCATTTTCTGGGCCCGCTCCACCACCGTAGCACGATATTGTCCGATTTGGGCTTATCATTCCCTCACGGTTTTGTTTTTGGGAACTCACTAGCAACTTCCCAGTGGGTCACCTATCATGGGATTGCTTTAACCCCCTTCTCGCTTAACTTCGGAGTTCCTACGGAACCCGAAGCCAGTGAGTTCCCAAAAAGCCTCGTACTAAGTAGAGATGAGAATATACATATAAGGATCACTCCCCTGAGCGATGTGGGATGTTACAATCCACCCCCCTTAGGGGCTCGACGTCCTCGTCGGCACACCACGACCAGAGTTAGGCTCTGATACCAAATTGTCACATCCCGGCCCGGGAAGGGATCATTTCCCGGGCCCGCTCCACCACCATAGCACGATATTGTCCGCTTTGGGACCCTACCACGCCCTCACGGTTTTGTTTTTGGGAACTCACGAGCAACTTCCCAGTGGGTCACCCATCATGGGATTGCTCTAGCCCTCTTCTCGCTTAACTTCGGAGTTCCTACGGAACCTGAAGCCAATGAGCTCCCAAAAGGCCTCGTACTAGGTACGGATGGGAATATACATATAAGGATCACTCCCCTGATCGATGTGGGATGTTACACACATCCTCTATGGATCCCAAAAAACTTAGCCTATGGATCAAATGATCCGGGTCGTTGAAATTTGATCTAATTACTAAAATTATTATAACTTTAGAAGGATCATCTGTTTGTAGCCGTTGGATCAAATTTCAACAGTCCGGATCATTTGATCCTTAAGCTCAGTTTTTGGGGATCCGAAGAGGATCTGGGTTCTTTGATTGATAGGTTGATTTGACTTGTATGGACTCTCCCCATTTCTACAGCAAGTACTAAACAAGATTTTTCATTAATACAAGACTTCGCAACAAGATAGAGAGTGTGTTTCTAGCATATTCAATGATTGTCTACATTAAAAAAAAAACTTGCCAAAAATGTTGATTCATATGAAATAACAAAGGATTTCAATTATATTAAGGATTGAAGGGCACAACTTGAATATGTCTTTTTCTTCTTTTTATTTGTTAAGTTGAATAAGATTGATAATAAATGTTTTCTTTTTATTGCAAATTGCAAATTTAAATGATTTCTTTGTTAAATCTAGTTGAAACTTGAGTTATAATTTCTTTACTTCAAAATATTACTTTTAGGTTTATTAATTTACAACTTTATGTAAGTAACAAAAAAAAAAAATATTGAAGTATTTGATTTCGTAATAATAATTTTAACTTAACTCATTCCCAAGATAATTATTGACTCTACTGTTGGCCTCAGCCACTCCATCTTGAAGAAGAAAGCCGTGGGTCAGGGTGTTGAAGGTGGCCGCCTCTGGTACAGAACCAAGTTTGAAGAAGTTTCCCAAGACAGACAAACCAAACCCCATTTGGTTCAAATGGCAAAAGCAATTAATGATAATTGTTAGAATATAAACATTAGGACGAATCCGAATTTAAATAAGTTAAACTTGGCAAATTGACCCATGAGTCTTGATTGAACCGGACAGCAGAAGTTGTTGTCCACGTTACCTTATACTATCTCCAAGCCATAGGATACAACTTAAAATATAAGTTTAAAATTCCCAAACCATCTCCAAACATTAGATTAAAATAAAATATATCTTTGGACTGGATTTTATTATTTTAAGTCTGGCTGAAATTATTCTAATCCATCAAACTGTTGTATTTCAAACTTTTTTTTTTGTTGTTTACTTATAATTTAACGGATATGATCAAATGAGATCAAATCTAATGATAAAATAATTTACGAAAATTATGTAAATCAAATTTCATATAAATACTTATGTATTTGTATGATTTTTAATTGCTTATCCGAATTTAAATATTTTTAGGTGAAAATGTTCACAAAAATAAATTAAAATAATCAACATAAATTTTATTTTAAAAAAAAAATCACCAAAAAAAAAATTCAAATTATTTTTTAATAATTTCGAACTAAAATTTTAAGCTATATGCTCATAAATGTTGGAAGAGAAAATCAGTTTTTGAATTATAGCTTAAATGTTTTTGGCTGAAAATTTTAAGTTTTATCTCTGAGAGTTGAATTAGCATGTTGGTTTAATGGTAAGAAGCCGAGCAGTTGATTGGTGTCCAAGGCACGAAGTTTGAAACTTTTTTAGTGGGATCCACCTTCGTACTTTAAGAAAAAAAATTATTGATAGTTGCATCACCTCTTCAGCTCGCCGTCAAATCGTGGGCCCCAAAAAATGGGAATGCCCATGTGTCCGAGATTTGACACTTTTTGGCCATCCCAGAGGCTGAATTGAGCCCCAAAATACGGCCGAATCCTTTTCCTAGGGATCCGTGGGATTTTAAGATTATGTTTTTTTATCGTACATCGTGTATTTATTTTTATTTAATATTATTTATATTTAATTTTAAATTTTAAATAATTTATGACTGCATGATATACGATGAACGAACATGATTACAAAATTCTTAGAAAAATGATCTGGCGAGGCTCCTTTTCCCACAATATGCCATTTGCAAATGCCCTTTGGTTGGAGACCTTTTTGTTCAATTTTGGGTGCAAATATTTAAAGACTTTTTAACTAAAATGGTTGATAATATTAGCATAACTCTTTATTTAGTTTTTAAGATTTAAAATTCATAAAAGTGGTATTTGAGTTAGTCCATCATCAATCATTTTGATTATTTTGTAAAAAAATTCCATTAAATAAATATAAAATGACAAAAAAAAATTTCAATGTACATCTAATTAGAGTAAAATTTTCACTTACATATTTTAAAAATGTAAAATCAAATACATATCAAATTAATAGAGATATTAGATAGATGATACAAATAAATGATACGTGTAGGATTAATTAATTTGTGTATGATTTTTGCAGCTCAAATTTGGAGATGGCCTAAAAACCTGGGAATGTTGTATATAATTCGGAAGGAAAACAAAAAAGAGAGCAGCATTTAACTTCCTTCTAATTCGAGTGGACCCCATCATTCCAATGACGTGGAGCGACCTCGTCGGCTGTAGAAGAGGAATCTCTATGTTCCACTTGAATCGCTCTTCAGATTCCCGATCGTGTGACACAAACAAAAACAACAGACAAGAGAAAAAAATAATCAAATTTGCTGTTGGAAAAGTCTAAATTTCCAAATTTCAGTTGGTCACACTCCCCGACAGAACCTCCACATTTTTTTACTCTGTTTTTCTTCTCTCCAAATTTTCTCAGCTCCCAAACAGAAAGAAAGCTACAAATTTCCAGGTGATGAAGCGTGATCACATTGCCAGAAGGAAAAAGAAACTCGATCCCATGGGGAAAGAAGGGCAGAACTACGGGAAGGGAGAGAGTCCGAATCCGAATCCGATTCCGAAAGCCGATCACGCTTTCCCGGCGTGGTCGAGAGACGCCAAGGAATGCGAGGACGCGTTCCGAGTGAGTCGCGACTCGGGCTTGTCCTCCGAGGAAGTCGACAACCGGCGGAAGATGTACGGATGGAACGAGCTGGAGAAGCACGAGGACCAGTCGATGTGGAAGCTGTTGCTGGACCAGCTGAGCGACACGCTGGTACGGATTCTGCTGGCGGCGGCGATCATCTCGTTTGTCCTGGCCTGGTTCGACGGCGAGGAGGAGAAGGAGATCACGGCGTTTGTGGAGCCGCTGGTGATTTTCCTGATCCTGATCGTGAATGCAATCGTCGGGATTTGGCAGGAGAGCAACGCGGAGAAGGCGCTGGAGGCGTTGAAGGAGATTCAGTCAGAGCAGGCGGCGGTAATTAGGGATGGAAGGAAGGTGTCGAATCTGGCGGCGAAGGAGCTGGTTCCGGGGGATATTGTGGAGCTGAGAGTTGGGGATAAGGTGCCGGCGGATATGAGGGTTTTGAACTTGGTGAGCTCGACGTTTAGGATTGAGCAGGGGTCTTTGACAGGAGAGAGTGAGGCAGTGAGCAAGAGTGTGAAGGCGGTTTCGGAGAATTCGGATATTCAAGGGAAGAAATGTATGGTTTTTGCGGGGACGACTGTGGTGAATGGGCATTGTGTTTGTTTGGTGACGCAGATTGGGATGAGGACTGAGATTGGGCAAGTGCATTCCCAGATTCAAGAAGCTTCGCAGAGCGAGGATGATACCCCTCTTAAGAAGAAGCTGAATGAGTTTGGGGAGATTTTGACTATGATCATTGGTGTTATTTGTGCAATTGTTTGGCTCATCAATGTCAAGTACTTTCTCAGTTGGGAGATTGTTGATGGTTTGCCGACCAATTTTCAATTCTCATTCGAGAAGTGTACTTATTACTTCAAGATTGCAGTGGCATTGGCTGTGGCAGCCATTCCCGAAGGCTTGCCTGCCGTGATCACGACTTGTTTGGCGCTTGGAACACGAAAGATGGCTCAGAAGAATGCACTTGTTAGGAAATTGCCGAGTGTTGAGACTCTCGGGTGCACTACTGTGATTTGTTCTGATAAAACTGGTACTCTGACTACCAATCAGATGGCTGTGGCAAAGCTTGTGGCTATTGGTTCGAGGCCTGGTACTCTTCGAGCCTTTGATGTGGAAGGAACCACCTACAACCCTTTTGATGGGAAAATACAGGACTGGCCGCCAGCTGGTGATATGGATACCAATGTTCAAATGATAGCCAAAATCGCTGCTGTGTGTAATGATGCTGGTGTTGAGTTATCTGGGAGTCATTATATTGCCAACGGGATGCCCACCGAGGCAGCTTTGAAGGTGAATTTGCAATTTAAGTATATATATATCTGCTGTTTATTTGTCTGAAATTTGAATTGTTGTAGTTTGCATAGATTACATGAAATCGCGGAAATACCACAACATTTAATATAAAACTGTGTGGTTGTTTTGTGTTCCTTATATGAAATTTTCGAGAGTATCTTAAACATGTGTTGGGAGGTTTCTAATAAAGATCGATGTGTTCTTTTTGTTGTTGGTCATGAACTTTGTGGTTTGTTTCAGGTTCTGGTTGAGAAGATGGGAGTTCCTGAAGTATTAAATACTTGTTTCTCCTCAGTTGGAGATCTACTACGTATGTAACTGATTGCTAAGTCATTTGTTATTTCATGATTTTTTCGTGGGCATAAAGTTTCATGTTCTTTTCCCCTAATCACATTGAAGGTTGTTCTCAACTATGGAATGACATTGACCGGCGAATTGCAACACTTGAGTTTGACCGTGATCGCAAATCCATGAGTGTTATTGTGAATTCTGGCTCGGGAAAAAACTTACTTTTTGTTAAGGTACATTGCCTGATATATCTGATTTGGTAAGTTTTTGGTATTTTTCCTAATACTCTCTATGTCGCTTACTCAGAGCTATACTTGATGCGGTAACTACTTCTGCTCTTGTCCCATTGCATAAACAGGAGAATAGAATTGATTTTGTTGCTGGTATCAAATTATTAACTTGCACATAGAGTAGAAAGCTGAATGAAATCACCTATTTTGCCTCAAGGGGCTTACACATATATTGCACCTGATATCAGTTTCTGAACTTTTCTGGTTACACTGCTACATCCTGTTTGCATGCGTGAAGCTAAATCTTTGGTTTCGACAGTTCTTGGTATATATTTTGTTCTGTTCCTTTCCTCCTCAAAATGTTCATCTTCCTAGTTGTCTCACTTGAGAAGGTAATATTTCTCCATTTAAACTATCAAATTTCACGTCCAAGAATCAAGAGTTGGTTTGCTTGTCAATGATATTGAGTATGCCAGCCCATTCTCCTTGTTTATAATGGAAAACTTTACGAATTGATTTCTGATTGACTTAAAACCTGTGTAGGGTGCAGTTGAAAATGTATTGGAACGGAGCTTGTTCATTCAGTTGGTTGATGGCTCCATTGTAGAATTGGACCAAAAAATAAGGGATCTTATCTTGGGCACCCTTAATGAAATGTCAAGTAGTGCATTACGTTGTTTGGGGTTTGCATACAAGGACGACCTCCCAGAGTTTGCAACGTACAATGGTGATGAAGATCATCCAGCTCATCAGCTTTTACTCAATCCTTCCAATTATTCTTCAATTGAGAATAAACTTGTTTTTGTTGGCATGGTCGGGCTAAGGGTGAGTGTTCCTCTTTATTTTTTTTCTTGCAAATCTGCTAAACTCTGCTGTCCCCTTTTTCATTTGCTGATAGAAATTTGAAAGTTCTGACAAACTTTCTTCACGTAATTGTAAAATGTTGAAGGATCCTCCGCGAAAAGAGGTCCGTCAAGCCATTGAGGACTGCAAGGCTGCCGGAATCCGTGTTATGGTTATTACAGGAGACAACAAGAATACTGCTGAAGCTATTTGCCGTGAAATAGGTGTATTCAAACCTTCAGAAGATATTAGTTTGAAAAGCTTAACAGGAAATGAATTCATTGATCACCATGACCAGAAAAGTTATTTAAGACAAAGTGGAGGCCTGTTGTTCTCTAGGGCTGAGCCAAGGCATAAACAAGAGATAGTGAGGCTGCTCAAGGAAGATGGGGAAGTGGTTGCAATGACTGGTGATGGAGTGAATGATGCACCTGCCTTGAAGTTGGCTGATATTGGTATTGCAATGGGCATTGCTGGGACAGAGGTACAGTAATGACGATTCCTCTATGTTTACTTATTTTTGTTTAATCCATTATGCTGAATCTTTCTGTGATCATGACAGAGACCACGTAGTTTGTCTGCACACGCATTGCATAATGCTCATCATGAATCCATGACCATCGAGCAAGACTTATTGAATGGCGTTTTCATCATGTTTATTTTATATATTCATCACTCTTGGCCCACTTGTTCCAGGTTGCCAAGGAAGCCTCTGATATGGTATTAGCAGATGACAATTTTAGCACTATAGTTGCTGCTGTTGGAGAAGGCAGGTCTATTTATAACAACATGAAGGCTTTTATCAGGTTTGATTCTTCTCCATCGAAGCGTGTCAAGCTATGTTCATCTGTTAATGGAAGGCCTTAGTTTCTGTGTTAATGCACATCCTGCTGTCGAATCTCATTTTTGAACTTTGCATATGATCAGCTGCGGTTCCCTGTTTCTTTGCAGGTACATGATCTCCTCAAACATTGGCGAAGTTGCATCCATTTTTCTGACAGCTGCCTTGGGTATTCCAGAAGGGATGATCCCAGTTCAGCTTCTCTGGGTCAATCTGGTCACCGATGGACCCCCAGCAACAGCTTTGGGATTCAATCCACCGGACAAAGACATAATGAAGAAGCCCCCTAGAAGAAGCAACGAGTCATTGATCACTCCTTGGATCTTATTCCGTTATCTGGTACGACAACTACATAAACATTTGGTCATCAAAGAACCAGATTTCAGACAATTTAGTAATATTTGTGCTAACATCGAATTCATTGTGTAACCTACTCAATAATCTGACAAAATCCGAAATCCTTTTGATCTGTTGCAGGTAATTGGGCTCTACGTCGGGACAGCAACAGTTGGGGTGTTCATTATTTGGTACACTCATTCCTCATTTTTGGGCATCGACCTTAGCCAAGACGGCCATAGTCTAGTGACATACTCTCAACTTGCAAACTGGGGCAAGTGCCCTTCATGGGAAGGATTCTCACCATCCAACTTCACAGCCGGATCCCAGGTGTTCACTTTCGACACCAATCCATGCGAATATTTCCGTTCTGGAAAAATCAAAGCCTCGACTCTCTCCCTCTCCGTCTTGGTTGCCATCGAGATGTTCAACTCCCTCAATGCACTATCCGAGGACGGAAGCCTCTTGACAATGCCTCCCTGGGTCAATCCGTGGCTCCTTCTAGCCATGTCCTTGTCATTCGGCTTGCACTTTCTGATCCTCTACGTCCCGTTCCTTGCGGATGTGTTCGGCATTGTCCCTCTCAGCCTGAACGAATGGCTCTTGGTGCTGGCTGTCGCGCTTCCGGTGATATTGATCGATGAGATTCTCAAGTTTGTGGGAAGATGTACGAGTAAGTTGCCGGATTCTACTACTATCGACAGATCTAAGCAAAAAGCAGAGTGAGCGCCAAGAAGCCTTGGATTTATTAGTTAGAATTGTAGTGGACTTTATAAAAACAACTTTGCTAATACAAATTTGAACTGCATTCGACATGATTTTTCGGAGATTCTGCGTTATTTCAGTATTGTCAGATTTTTTTATAATTTAATTAAATAAATTTCAGAAATAAAACAAAATAAATGAGGTAAAATGAAGGTGAATAAGCAAAAACTTCTAGCATTTGCTTTACAAAAAGAATATAATTGAAGCAAATATATTGTTGCCCACTGTCAGTTTTGCATTGCTTTTTACTTTTTAATGGCTCAAAATTGAGCTATTTGTAAACAATTAAAGGGATTAAATTGTAGTGATGGTCCCTTAATTTTAATCAAATTGGAGCAATAGTCTTTTAACTAAAATGTAGTCTGCTTACGTGAAGCTCGTGGTTTCTCTTCTATTTTTTGCATTGGTCTTGAATTAAGTTTGATAGATTGTTTTTAATTCACCATAGATTGTTTTTATATATCGTATTTAGATCTTTTGCAGAAGTTTTAATTTACAAGATCAATAGTACTTTTAGTAAATAACACTATTAAATTTTAGCAAAAGCTACAAGAAATTCAAAATAATATTTGACTGATGTCCAAAATCAAACAAAAATTGTAAACTGCGTGTAGCACGCGTAATTTGAAAACAAAAAAGCAATGCAAGATACCTATCTCTAGAGGGGCGTAGCGCCGTGCAAGAGTGATAAATTCCAACAATCAACACGGATAAATACATTTAAGTCGTGCGTGTAGAAAGACTAGTTTGTTTCTATTCAAACTTTGATTAAGACGCTTTGAAAGTTACGCCAACACTTTTGAAATTTTTTTTTTTACATATCATTATTTTGTGTGTGTGTGTTATTTTATTTTTTTATATATTGAGTGTCATATCGTTGATTACAACCTACATACTGAATCTATCATTTTAGTTGTTAAAGGTTTTTCTTTCTAATTACGTGAAAAATGTGGGGTGTAAGGGTAATATAGAAAAATACGTGGGGGTGTATTAGGATAAATTTTAATTGAAAAAGTAGTTGTAGGGTGTATTCAATAATATGTGAGGTGTATTTAGTTGTTAGAGGTTTTTCTTTCAAATTACGTGGAAAATCAGTTATAAATTATAGGTGATTGATTTAATCACTTATCTCATTTTAATAATCTTTCTCGATCAAAATAATTTCTTTGTTTCTCCAAAAATTAAATGTGTTGTAGGCCTATTTGATTGAATTGTATAAAGGACAGAAAGGGAGAGGAGCTGGCGGCAATAAAGAGAGAAGAGAGAGATTTAATTTTGAGGTGTGTGTTGTATCACCCCCTTATGCTTTTATTTATAGTAGTAGGATAGGTAGAATCTTTACCCTAATAGGATTACATCTCCAAGAGGAATTAAACTACTAAAGGGAATATACAAGATACACTAGGATTTACACAATTACATTCCTAATCCGATTAGATTGCAACACTCCCCCTTGAGTGTGTAAATACTTAAACAAAATGTCGCATCAGATCTTCAACAAATGAGGTAGAACATTTGATGAAGTTGTTGGCACAACGAGTGAACACTAGTATCAAATATAAGAAAGTAAGTATGCATTGGTAGTATAACTCACAAAACCTCGCTATGGTAAAACCCAAGGCATGGGGAAAACCCATAGACTAAGGAGAATAGTGAGAAGTATGCATAATGTCTAAAACAAACGTCAAACCTGATGAAAGTAGTGAACTCAATGGAGTATGATCATCCCAGGATGGGTGCCTCATTAAAACCTCGTTAGGTAGCAAAAACCCAGTGGGAAAAATGCTCCTAATCGTAGGAAAAATAGTACATTAAGATCAAGTGAGTATGCTTCAAGATACTCCCCCTAAGTTAGACATAACTTACAAATAAGAGAACTATAAGTGATTCAACTTAGATAATTTACGCATACCGATTCCTTGGACGAGCTTTTGAAAAGTGGACTTGGGTAATGACTTTGTGAAGAGATCGGCCAGGTTGTCTTAGGAACGAATTTACTTGACTTCAATGTTTTGATGTTATTATTGATGGTGATAATACAAGAACTTTGGTGCTATGTGCTTGTTGTTGTCTCCCTTGATGTATCCCTTCTTTAGCTGCTCGATACATACTATATTGTCTTCAAAGATCATCGTAGGAAGGTCAACGACAGAAGAAAGATCACTAGTGCTTCAAATATGTTCCATAACTGCTCTCAACCAAAAGCACTATTGCAAGGCTTCATGCAGGGCGAGAATCTCAGCATGGTTCGAAGAAGTCGCAACTAGCATTTGCTTGGTAGACCTCTAAGATATAGCAAGGTCTCCAATGGTAAAGACATAACCCGTTTGAGAATGTGTCCTATGTGGGTTAGACAGATAACCAGCATCTACATAACCAATAAGGCGAGAATTAACCTGAGGACCGATGGGGGTAACGGCTCCTCTCGAGGATTTGTGGATGTAGAATAAGCCCAAATCTGTCGTACCCTTAAGGTAGCGAAAAATGTCTTTAACACCATTCCAATGTCTGCGTGTAGGTGCATTACTGTATCTATCTAAAAGATTAACAGCAAAAGAGATGTCGGGTCTAGTGCATTGAGCCAAGTACAATAAAGCTCCAATTGCACTTAGGTATGGAACTTCAGGCTCCAAAATCTCTTTCTCATCCTCATTCGGATGGAAGAGATCTTGTTTAGCATCTAGAGTTCGAACAACCAATGAGTACTCGAAGGCTTCGCTTTATCCTCATTAAAACGTCACAACTTATGGGTATAGTTCGATTGGTGTACTAGGATTCAATCCAAACAATGCTCAATCTCCAGGCAGAGACAATATCAAGTTTTCCCAAGATCTTTCATCTCAAATTCCGATTTCAAGTGCGCGACAATTTCCTCAAGCTTTGCGGGAGTTCCAATGAGGCTCATATCATCGACACAAACTACAACGATCCTAAATCCAGAATGGGACTTCTTAATGAACATGCATGGGCATAGTTCATTGTTCACATAACCCTGACTTGTCAAATATTCACTCACACGGTTATACCACATCCGCCTGGATTATTTCAATTCGTAGAGTGATCTCCTCAATCTAATCGAGAGTGTTCCATGGTCTAGAACTATTTGAACCAGTCAATGGAAGTCCTTCTAGAACTTTCATATACATTTCCGTATCTAGATCCCCATAGATATACGTGGTTACCATGTCTATAAGCTGTATATTCAGTTTTTCAGAAACTACCAAAATGATAAGTTAGCAAAATGTTATGACGTCCGTTATAGGGAATACGTTTCCTCGTAATCAATCCCAAGGCGTTGAGAGAAAGCTTGCACTATGAGGCATGCTTTGTATCATACTATTTCATTCTTCTCATTACGCTTCCTTACGAAAACCCACTTGCAGCCCACATGCTTCACATGTAGTGGAGTATGAGCTACAGGCCCAAACACCTTTTGTTTCGCAAGCGAATCAAGTTTGACTTGGATTGCTTGTTTCCAGTTTGACCAATCTATTCTATGTCGACATTCATCAATGGAGTGTGGTTTAATATTGTCATTAAGCATGACGTCGGAAGCAACGGTATACGCAAATACATCATCGACAATCATCTCATTTCGATTCCAAACTTTATCCAAAGCTGCCTAATGGACCTAAATCTCATGATTCTCGGGAGGCCGATATGTCTCATTTAAGACATCACCGTAATATAGAATAACCTCATACGTTGGAACAGATGAGTAAGCAATGGTCGAATTTAGACTAGTGTCACTAGTTTGTGTCATTTTCCTCTTCTGGGGTTATGAATCCTTTGAACCAAGATGCCTGCCATGCTTCAGGGTAGAAGCAGGTGAATGGCTAGCTGCTAGTGTACCTTGCTGTGTGGGAGGTGCGGTCACCCCCAACCTCGGGGACGGTTTTGCCTTCCATAGCGATGTTACGGCTTACGCTTGGTAAGTTCATCTTTGCAGGTGCGTTTGCAATGGGTAAATGTGATCTTGTCGCAATGTGATATTGTCACCTTCACTAGATCAGTAAAAACATCTGGCATGCTTTGAGTAATGCTCTGAAGACTTAGAATATGTCGCAGTTCAGACTGAGGTGCGTGGAGATCTTAATGAGACATAGTGGGAGTAATCCACGACAATCCGCGACGTTCTATAGGAACATTAGTGATCTTATCTCCCCCTAACGACGGGAAGCCTATCTTATCGAAGTGACAATCCGCAAAATGTGCGATAAAGAGATCTTCTGTCAAGGGTTCTAAGTAGCGAATAATGGATGGTGAATTATAACTGACATTGATTCTCATTTTTCTCTGAGGACCCATTTTGGTACATAGTGGCGGTTCTATTGGCACATAAACTGTGCATCCAAGCATATGTAAATGTGAGACATCAGGCTCATATCCAGTAACCAACTGTAATAGTGAATAAGGTTGGGATAGGCCTCAGGCAAACAACATAGTTGCGTGCAATATTGCGTGACCCCATATAAATACTGGAAAATTAGTTCACATAACCAAAGTTCGAGCTATCGTTTAAAGGCGCTTTATGAAAGCTTTTGCCAAGCCGTTTTGGGTGTGAACATGGGGTACGGGATATTCAACTTCAATCCTAATAGACATGCAATAATTATCAAAGGTATGTGACATAAACTTTCTAGCATTATCCAGTTGAATCAACTTGATCGGATAATCAACGTGGTGAGCCGTTAGCTTAATAATTTGTGCTAAAAGTTTTGCAAATGCAACGCTGTGTGTGGACAACAAGCAGACATGTGACCATCGTGTCGATGCATCAACCAACACCATAAAGTATCTAAATGGTCTGCATGTTGGTTGGATAGATCCACAAATATCCCCTTGAATCTTCTGAAGAAATTTAAGGGGGTTGTGAATAATCTTTGTAAGTGAGGGTTGAATGTTCAACTTCCTCAGGGAATATGCTTTGCAAAGTGGATGGCTGGGATAAGATTTCAAGTGATTCCCATGAGATGTTTTGAGGATACGGCGCATCATATCTCATCTGGGGTTTCCCATTCGATCATGCCAAAGCAGGAGAATATCCTGGAACCCAACCATAGGGCCGGCCATATGGTGCGTCTCTACGACTTAAATGGTTGTCATGTACAACCCATTCGGGAAATGTTCCAGCTTTTCGTGAATATGCTATATTCGTAAGAAATGATACAAAAAAATTCAGAACCATTCTCTTCAGTGGTTTGAACATGATATTGATTTTCTCGAATATCTCTAAAACTTAACAACGTTCTTTCGGAACGTGGAGAATAAAGTGCATCTTTAATGGTTAATTCAATACCATTGGACAACATTATACATGCCCTTCTGTATCTTTCTATCAGGTTGGATGGGCTTGAGAGGATTGTCAAAAGTGCATTCTTTGGTACGAAATTAGTGAAATAGTGTTTCACACACAATATGGTGTGCATAGTTGCACTATTGGCCAGACAACTAACTTCCCCACTAGTCATACCTAGAAATGAATTAATTGAATCAGTCACATGCATAAATATAATTCAATTCATTCAAATAATCAATTCGAGAAATAATATCCATAAAATAATTATCCAAAGTTCAAAACAAACCAAACCAAACAAATAATTCCAAAGACTTAGAAAAATTGTCCAAAAATTTAACCATAGACCCAGAAATTTAGGTGAGGGTGTTCTGTCACTAGGGGTTTAACACCCTAAAAACATGTTTAAAATTCATTCTTCCATATGAGTGGATGCTTCCTGAAAATCTGAAACCTCCAGAGTTGTAATAGTAGCTTCGAGTATTGCTACATGCGCAAAGTTGGACTCACGACGTGCATGATACTTCGCAATGGCCTTAGGGGTAGCTCGGCATATGCGTGACTAATGATCCCTTGATCCACAATGGTAACACATGTCCAGTTCAGTGGAATCCGTTTGAATTGTAGTTTTTCTCTGTTCTTGAAGTTTGGGTTTTCAGGGCATGGGGTTGGCGGTTTTAGGTCAAGTTTCCTCCCTTGGATAGGCCACTGTTCGATGGACTTTGGTTCCGTGGTGGAGCTTGCCACATTTTTCCATGGCCACGATAGGATCTTCGTCGGTTGTGGTTGTTAGAATTTGTCGTATGCACTTTAGGCGCGGCGTTCGAGCCAATAGGTCGAGCTTGATGATTCTTCATCAAAAGCTGGTTCTGCTTTTCAGCGAGAAGTAGAACAGATATCAAATCTAAGAATTTGTTGCTGCAAGACAATATTGGTGTTGTTGAAGGTCGAATAGGTCTTCTCTAAGAGATCATATTCGGTTAACTCCTCGTTATAGAACTTAAGTAATGATCAAATTCTACAAACTTCAGAGTTGTAATTCATTCACAGACTTAAAGTCTTGGAAGCGTAGATGTTGCCAGTCATGTCTTGCTTCAGGCAAGAAGATGTCTTTCTGGTGATCAAAACGATCCACCAGGGCAAGCCAGAGGTATGTGGATCATTCTCTGTGAGGTACTCGGTCTGCAGTGCATCATGGATGTGTCTTCAAATGAAGATCATAGCAATAACTTTCTAAGCTTTGTCTACAGATGCATCATCGATTGGTTCCTTGATGGTAACTCTAAGACTCTTTGCAGTAAGGTGGAGCTTCACGTCTTGAAAACATTTCAGGTAGTTTCTTCCGAAGACTTCCAGAACAATGAAATCGATCTTGTTCAAGTTTGACATGTCCCTAAACAGAGGGTACAACAAAACGTGGTTAGTCATATGGAAAGCCATAGACATACATCGTAGAACATTCGAGTTCCATAGACATGTATTGGTTTAATTTGTGCATGAAAGCTACAGGTTTCATGTGGTAAGTTTTGAATGAAAATATCGGGTTTCAAGGGCACTAAATTCGAAACTACAGGATTGATTTATTTATGAACGATTAGTTCATATATAGGGGTATCTACAAGAACACAAAATACAATATTCAATAAAGTGTAGTGGATTTGTGGATTGCTTAAGGAACCCAAGTGTGATTGCTTCGGGACTATGAAAGATAGTCAACGGTCCAAAGAGAATAAATAATTTATTGAATTGGTAATGCCAAAAAGTGAGCTTCAGGCCAATAATTTTGGATTCATTGTCAGATTAGTGGATTGCTGGTCACTTTAATTTATTCAATAGATCGATACCATTCGAGGTTGATCGTAGAAGCAAAAATAATTATAACATGTGGGTTAAAATTATTTAAAATGCCAAAAATAGTATTGGATTCGAAAAACCATAACCCAAACATGGGGGCATGGGTGCCGTGAGTAGGGCAAAGCCTTATAGGGTTTATTGGGCTTGGGTAGCTGCAGAAAGCAGCCTAATGCGTGGCTTCAGGCCACAAGTCGAGTAATGCGAAGCCCAGTAGCAAGTTGCTGACGTTATAGGCTGAAACCAATGCACAAGGGGCAAGCCCAAAGGCTTGCGAGGGTGTAAGGAAACCCCAACCGAAGCTGGGTTTCGGTTATTAGGCCGCAGGGACAAGCTCAGCCATCTAGGCTGGCTTCTAGTATTGCGGGCCGTGGCAAATACAAACCAAGCAAACCAAGGAGGCTACTGCAGATGGGCCGAGGCTTCAGACCCGTGTTAGGAACAAGCCCAGCATGCTTCTGGCATGCAAGTGTGGGTCGGGTTTGGACTGGGGTTGTAGGCCTGTGTAGCAGACAACCCAAGTCGAAGCTTGGTTGGGTCCGAGAGATGCAGCAAGCCAGAGGGCTGCGAGCAAGGTCCAGGGCGTCAGAGTGACGTAGTCCCAAGGTGGTCCACGCGGTTGGGCTTTAGGTCAGCGTGGTGGTCTTGACGGTGGTGCTGTGGCAGTGCCATAAAAATCCCAGATTTTTGTGTGTGTGTGTGTGTGTGTTTTTTTTTTTTTTTCAAATTCTATGGTTAAAACCCCTATTTGCTTATAAATTAATTTTGAGTCTTTGACTCACAATTCCACATAGTATAAATGCGCAATGCATGAACAATTATATATATTGACAAAATATATGAACATATATACGATATATGTAATTGGAAGGAAAATATAAATATAGGAGGTTCATGCATCATGGGGAATGTTTTCATGTTTCAAGATTTTTTCAAACATCTTAATTTATTTTAGAAGAACCTGATTGGTAGAAAATAATTGAAAGCCTTTGAATTTGTAGAAGAGAGCCTCTTACGATCATTGAGTTCTTTAGCTTCTGGCAAAAGTGTGCTGATAACATGTTGTAGGCCTACTTGATTGAATTGTATAAAGGACAGAGAGAGAGAGAGGGGCCAGCGGCAACAGAGAAAAAAGAAAGAGATTTAATTCTGAGGTGTGTGTTGTATCACCTCCTTATACGTTTATTTATAGTAGTATGATAGGTAGAATCTTTACCCTAATAGGATCACATCTCTAATAGGAATTAAACTACTAAAGGGAATATACAAGATACTCCTAGATAGACTAGGATTTACACAATCACATTTCTAACCCGGTAGGATTGCAACAATATGATGTATATTCTTTTTTTCTTTCCAAAACAAGTTTTCAGAATGTTGTTCATTTTTGGGGTCAATTTGGGTACATCTAGCTTTTGACACAACACTATTAGTTTATAGTGCATTTGGGTTGTAAACATACCACAAAGTTGGTACATCTATGGAACATTTAAGTTTTCAACGTAATTTTTTTTGTAATAGTTTCAAACTCTCTCACTCCTCTTATTAATAGTAATTTTTTTTTAAAAAAAAAAGAGTTTTAAACGTACCAAGAAGTTGATACATTTATTTTGATCTGGGACTTCAACATAAAAAATAAAAAAAAAATTCAAACAAAAAGCATGCTTGTGTAATACAAACTTGAAATTAATCCTCAACCACTGAATCACTCCATGATAGTTTAATTTATGACATTTTTAATGTTGTAACTATGTAAAACAGGATTAATTTTTCAAATCCAACAAAATAAAAATAAAAACGTTTTTCTTTCCTTTATTATATTTTCTCCATTAGAAATAAGTGTTTTGAAGAAGGAAATTATTATTGGCACTTCAAATTTCTCTTTCTACACTCCAACTTCCTATATTTAGAAAGAAAAATACACTTATGAGGAGTGTAGAATGAGATTTTTGGAGTGTTAATAACATTTCCCTTAAAGAATACATTAAGAATGATGTTACACATGTTCATCCATCTCTATTATAGAAGTAGTATAAATGTGATATAAAATATATAATGAGAATAACATTTTTAATATATTAATGAATTTTTCAATTTCATGTAATCATCAATCTTCCCATATTCTAGGCAATTAGTTAGCTGGATAGATATAGGTGCAATATTTCGACCAAAAAAAAAGAAGAAATACAGGTGCAATAATTTTTTTTTAAATTAATAGTAATTAATGAAATTTCATATCATAAAAAGGGTTTAGTAGTATCTTACATGACACCACTTTTATTTAAAACCTATACGTTAAAAATACCCGATACCAATCCCCAGTCCCTTTGACAGCAAAACCCTAACCCCCGAATCCGTACAGAGTCCTGCCCTGCCTCTTGAGCGCATAGACAACGTCCATGGCCGTCACCGTCTTCCTCCTTGCATGCTCCGTGTAGGTAACGGCATCACGAATCACGTTCTCGAGAAAGATCTTGAGGACGCCGCGAGTTTCCTCGTATATCAGGCCGCTGATTCGCTTCACGCCACCTCTGCGGGCCAGGCGGCGAATCGCTGGCTTGGTGATGCCCTGGATGTTGTCACGGAGGATCTTCCGGTGACGTTTTGCTCCTCCCTTGCCGAACACCTTGCCTCCCTTTCCGCGTCCAGACATTGTTGCCAGCCAAAATTCTCAAAAACCTGAACACAAAACTAAAACAAAACATCAGAAGTCAGAGAGAGGAATCTGAAACCATAATCTACGTGAAACTGCAGAAATTTGAGAAGGGGAGAGAGAGAGAGGACCTGAAAATTGCAGAGAAAGTGAGAGAGAACTCGTTTGCTTTTGGGGAATGCATGGAGTGTTTGGATTTTGTGGGTATTTATAGGGCGATGTGGGATCCTGAGATGAGGGTCGATCCGCGTGGTAGATGGAAGGAAGGTTTTGGGCAGTCGATGGATTTGTGTTCGCGGTGGAGATGGAGGTGAAGGGTGAGTGAGGATCGATGACGTGGGTGTTTGCGAGTTTTCAGCGCTTTGTTTTGTGTTTCTTTTGGTTTGATTGTTCGTCGTAGGATAAAACCGCGCGGGGTGGTTGGCGCTGTTTTGGGAATGGGCTCTGTGAGGCCCAGGTTTTTTTTGCGTGATACACCCATCAAACTGCTCGGTACACCCCATCTTTTTAAACCATCATGTTGTTATTGTTAGGTGAGTTTAAATGTCAGGTAGTATAGAGATTTAGTGCTATGATCTAATGGTATTCCTCTTAATTTGTTGCTCAATACTTTGGAGGAAAAGTGTTGTGCAAGGTTTTAAAAACCAGAAAACGTCCAACGCTCTTGCTTCTCTTCCATCGACTATACAGGCAGGTTTACCTTTCTCCGTGGAATCCTCCTTGCTCACCACCTTTTTATTCTGCTCTACCTCCAAGGATTCCCCGTTCCTGATCATCATTCAGTTACAAGTCAATCAGAAAAATGACATAACTTGGATAAATATTAGCAGGGATATACGAGGTGATGTTACTATGGGGCAGCAAATTGAGTCAAATCAAAAATGGTTTAGAGTTTGTGGAATAATAGCACCGTAACACTGATGGGATGACATGTCCATTTGTAAATCTCAAGCAAATTACTAATGTTGGTTAGGCATGACTGAAATTCTTCTTGACTGACCCCCATTACATATCTTCTACTTCATGACACTTAAAACATATATCTAAAATTAAATAATATATATATATATATATATATTATTTCAATTCGGTTCGGGATTACTGAACGAATGAAAATGTGAGACTGATTTCTGTACCGAAATTTTTGGTTTAGTATTTTTTTGGTTTGGTTTCGGAATTTTTTTGATTCGGTTTGAAATATGTGGTATTTTTTTCCACCCCTATGAGACTTAGCTCACTCATTTGTTCATAAAAAATGTTAAGTAGTATAATACGTAAATTGTGTTTGCTTATTTAACATCAATTTGTTTGGTAAGCAAAAACACTTTCTAAATTTTGTTTTCTCTTAAAGTTGAGTCGATTTAATAAAAAGAGAGGATTTCTACATGATAAAAAAATGGAGAGGAAGAGAGAATATAATTGAGACAACACGAATTTGGTGTATGTAGCACTACCCTTCTTAGAATAGTCTTACTCTTACGTTTTGAAATAGACACTAAGGCTTGTTCGGAAGTGCATTTAAAATGACTAAAAACACTTTAATGAAAATGTTTTAGTACCAATCCAAGGCAAAAAATGCAAATGAATCTTGAAAAAGCATTTGAAGTGCTTATTGCAAGAAGTAAGAGTATAGTTCAAGTGCTTTTGAAACTCAAAAATATTTTATCTAAAAATACTTTAAACAATTCCAAATGTGTCATAAATTACCTCATTAGCGAGTTCATTTGTTTCATATTGTATTAACAAGTTGTATAAAATATATAAGAAAATATGGAAAAGGATCATCTCCGAATTTTATCTGTGCGGACTTTCGGAATCAATTAATCCTGGTTTTTCACCACAAATCGAAGGGCAATGCTTCCACCAACCTACCTATGTTCATTGCCTTCTCTCTTCTCCTTTCACTACTTCTCTTTCTCTTGTTCACAGATCGAACAAATTCGTGATAGAGGCACGTCGCCGACTCTTCTTAAACTCGATTGGCACAGAGAATGGGTTAGCGACAAAAAAGAGGTTACGATCCTACCTTCGTGGGTGGCGTTGCGCTTTGGTGCACGATGCGCGTTCAAATCAAGGGTGGCGTTTGGTTGGGTAGAATTGTAGGGAGGAGGAAGGTGGTGGATGATAATAAAGGGATCGTATAACTACAACCATACTTTTGAGTTTTGAGTTTTTTGTTTATGTATTAGTTGCTACAATTGAATTTAGATAATTATATTAGTTAGACTTTTGAGTTTGTGAACTTATAACTATTTGGATTATGTTTTGATGCGATAATTACTTGACACTCAAATTAAACCCTCGTTTGACAATTGTAGTAGAATGGATAAGTGAGGGATCGTTCTAGACCGGGGATTAGGAGGGCTTGCTAAAACCTTCTAAATTGACTTAAAAACACAATATAAAACACTATTTAATGCTCGAAGAAAGCAAAACTAAAAATAAGAAAGATTAAGACTAAGACTTCAACGAAATAGGGGGGAATTGGATTTGGACGAATTTAAACTAAAACGTAAAAACAATATAAAACGTTAAACTAGACTCAAAGAATGTGAAAGTAAACGTTAAAACACTAAGACAAACCAAAAGACTCAAAATGCTTTAAAAACACAAACTAAAATGATTTCTAACTAAATTGAACAATAAAGTAAAGGGGGATTGAGTTTTGGACGGAATTAAACTAAATGAACAAATTGCAATTAAAACAGAATGTAAATATGAAATTGATGAAATGGAATGAATGGATGCTAGCCAAGGGGTTCATCTCCACACATGTTACACTTGCATAATAAAAAGATTTCTAATTGCTTTTCAATAAACCATGAATTCTCAACGCTCCGGGTTAATTAGGTCCGCTTAAATTAACCGTCAAGTTTTCCTTAAGTTAATGAATTGGATGATTGCATACGACAACCCAAAGCATTCCTCACAAGTTCCCTACATGAATTGCATAATAGAGATACAAGCAAGAATCATTAAGCAACATGAAAACTATAAGTGTTGACGAGGCATTCGTTACTATGATTGCATGAAACTTATGCCAAGAATTTGTTTAACGCGATTGTTTATAAGCAACCTCCACTACTTGTGAATATAAGTTCATAACTATTATGTGAAACTCACTTATATTCTAGCGTCAAATTCATGCATGGAAATTAAGCGTTCATTCTTAATAAACATACATAAATAGGATATCAATCAAATAGTTAAACAAATTGAATTCACAACTTATGAAACGTAATTAAAAGTAATCAAATCATATTGCAAGCATAAACATATATTTCGAATCACCCCCTAGCTAAGGGGGGTTTAGTTCCTCATACGTACAAAACAAAGAGAATTGAAATTAAACATTGAAATCAAAGAAACGCCTAAACATTCCAACAACTCAAACTTGAATTGTATGAACGTTTAGGCCCTCTTCTCTTCCTCTTCGTTGTAGCATAAGGTCTAAGGATAGTTGGTTGGGGGGGATGGAAGTGTGGAATTATGGAAGTGGATGAGGAGTCGTGGAAATGGAAGAATGGTTTTGGATTCTAAGGGGAAGTGTTTATTTGTGGTGTGAGAATGGAGAGATGGAATTGAATGAAATGGAAGTGTGGGATGAATTGAATGATCCAAATGAATGAAGTGTGTGTGGTTTATATAGGGAGAGAATGGATGGGAGAGCATGTGAATGATAGCTAGGAGAATGATTAAAGGGGTGTGAATGGTTGGAAATGAATGTGGGTGAATTGGTGGTGCAATGATGAAAGAATAAGTGCATGTGTGTGTTTTGTGTTGGAATGAATGTGGATGCATGATGAAGAGTTAATAAATAATGCATGTTGGGTTAGCTAGGTTGGCTTTGTTTGGGTGCATGTGAGTTAAAGAGGGAGAATGTGGTGAAATGATGAAGTAGGAAGGTGGAAATGCATGTGAATGCATGTGAGATGTTGGAAAGGAAATGGGAATATGAGTAGGCCATGGCATGGGAGTTGTTTTGTTGGTGTAAATGTGCCATGGTTGCAATGATGAAGAATAAAGGGTGCATGTGGGGTGGAAGTGATGAATGCAAAGTGAATGAATAATGAAATGAGTTAAAGAGGGAGAATGTGGTGAAATGATGAAGTAGGAAGGTGGAAATGCATGTGACTTGTTTGTGGAATAAAGAATGAATGGTGGAATGATATGTTAAGTGATAAATGAATGATATGTGGTGAGTGATAAGTGAATGGAAGTGATAAGTGATAAGTGATAAGTGTATGTTATGATAAGTGAATGGTTTGATAAGTGATAAATGAATGATATGATAATTGAATGATATGTTAAGTGAATGATATGATAAGTGAATGCTTTAAGTGTTTAAAAATAGGGAACAAAACCCTTCCTTGCATGGCAAGGAACGGAGACACAAGGAAACACACGACAATGTCCTAAGGTTGCAAGGAATGTTGTTTTTGTGTTCTAAAATGCGTAGGAGTTTTCAATGATGCTTAAACATGAGGTCTTTTAGGATTTAACTTTCCTACTTCAAGTCTTTAATTTTGTCCATCCTCTTGGCTCCAAGCATATGATATCCATTCCAATCTCTAATTTGCTCCAAAAGGCTCCAAAAGGCATCCTTTTGCATACCTTGCCCTTAGAACCTGAAAACACACAAAAGAAGCATAAAGGACTAAAATAACTAGAGAAACATAACGTAAATGCACGAGAACCATTTAAGTCGCATGAATATGCTCCTATCATGTTTGCTGATGTTGGCTTATTAAGTTTTGATTTGATTTTCATTTTAATTTGTTAAGTCATGATTATGTTGGCTTATCATCAATTGAAAAATTGTAGCAACAACTTCTTTTTCTCTTTTCTGGTTTGTTGTTTACAGGTCGGTGCATGCTCTTGATCTGTTGTTTATTAAGCTTATTTGCAAACCATCAGTTGTGCTATTTACCAATCAAACTAGCCAATAATTTCGACATAACCGATTTTTGGCAACTGCAACAAAAAGGTTGACTAACTGTAAATGATTTTCGGTAATTATGTATATATGGCTGGCATGTGGCATAAGAAATTTGACACGATTTGCTAACCAAACCCAGCCTAATTAATCCGTTTTATTTCCACAGGCCTCCTCCACCGTAAAAAAGTGGGGCATAAAAAAATCCCAACGCCTCCGAAATCATCCCTTTCCTTAAACCCTAAACCACCGATAAACGACCTTCTACTGCCGCACATCTTTCACTCCACCGTCGCTTCTCCCCTCCACTCATGGCCTTCTTCGACCTCAGCATACCCTATACGGACCCCTCCCCACCGGACCGATCATCAGCAACACGTGCCAAGCTGGTGACCAAGGCCCTGGAGCTCGGCTATTCCGGAATCGCTTACAACCGCACGATCAAGGGCGTCATGTCCGATCACGACCGTTGCTCCATCCCCCTCCTCAAACTTCCTTCCCTCCTCAAGCACTCCCCTCTCCTCCACTCCTCCGTCAACTTCCACCGCGACCTCCTCGGTGTCCCCCGATCCTCCCCTTTCCGCCAGTACACCCGCCTCACCGTCTGCGCCGAGACCCCAGCCCAGTCGCAGGCCCTTAATTCCGGTAACCCGGTTCTGAAGACTTACGATTTGGTCGCCGTCAAGCCCTTAAATCAATCCGCTTTCGACCTCGCCTGTGAGAAATTGGAGGTTCGTGCTTTTGAATTTCTGAAATTTAACATTGTGTTTGGTTGCTCGGAGAGTTGAGGAAGAAAGTTATGATTTGTGTGTATTCTGGTTTCTCATAGGTAGATATAATTGCGATTGATTTCTCGGAGAAGTTGCCGTTTCGATTGAAGATGCCCATGGTTAAAGCTGCAATGGAGGTTTGATCTCAGAGAATTTGCTTGCTTCTTTTTTTTTTTTTCAATTTATATTTGATGGAATTGTTGAATTTGGTGATAAAGAATTTATATTTATCGGTTATGCAGCGCGGAGTGTATTTTGAGATCACATATGCGAATCTCATTGCCGATGTTCAAGCCAGAAAGCAAATAATAACCAATGCTAAGGTGAGGATTTGTAAAGGGAAATTACTATATGGATATTTCATATCCAAATCAATAGGCAGCAACGATTTGTATTTTCTTTCCCAAAATTAAATCTTACAAGAGCGTTGTGACATGGTGAATTTTACTTTCCACGAGACAATGTTGTAGGGTCATATTCTGCATGACATTACACAACTTACTACTGGACTTATATTAGTATTATGCAAACGGTCAACTAAAACTACAATTCCGTATGAAGTCTGTTAGTGTCATTTTGATCAATTAAAACCTTTTTCGGAAGTGTACAAATTTTTTCCCAAAGCATATGACTTTCTGGGTGCAGATGATCTACTAGTGAAAGATACTTACCCTCAATCAAAGTTATGTATGGAGATGCTATAATGGCAGATTGTGGGGTCATTTAATGTGAAGAGTACAATTTGACCTTAAAATGCTTGCATTGTGTGCACATCAGTCTTTGAAAGCATTCTTTGCTCAAGCTAGGTGACAGCGTTCTAGTTTTTCCAAACTTTAAAATGATCTTCGGAATGAAGTTTTACAGTTTTTTCATCAGTGATATAGAATTCATGGATAGTTTCCGTGTTTATTAATATCCGAAATGTCTTCTTTTGGAAATGAATGTGGATTGAGTATACTTTGATTCTAAGATATTTAACATGGTTTTATTGTATTACTATTATGTGGTGCATTTCTTTGGTCTGTAATGCGCATGCACACTACAGCCAGGAAAAACTATTCACTGTAACATGATTATTGTGTAATTGTTTGGATATTGTTCATTTCTTATGGATGCAACTACTCATCATTTTTGTATTGTTCTTCAGTTACTGGTAGATTGGACTCGTGGAAGGAATCTAATAATTTGCAGTGCTGCCCCGACTGCAAATGAATTTAGGGGGCCATATGATGTTGCAAACTTAATGTCATTACTGGGGCTCTCTATGGAGCGAGCTAAAGCGTCTATATCAAGAAATTGTAGGTATGATAGCTTTTCATAAATCTCAGTCTTGAAGATTTGATGTTTAACTCATCCAAACTCTTACAGTTAATGTCTTGCAGGACTCTAGTAGTTAATGCTGTGAGAAAAAAACACTTTTTCAAGGAAACCATAAGAGTTGAAGTTCTGTCATCAGATCAAGAAACTGACAAGAACAAACCTTGGTCTGGTGACTCGTTTCAATGGGATCCCATCTCTAGTGGTGAAGGTGATTTGGTATTAGCTGATTTGGAAAAGTCTTTCAGTACCTCTAGTAACAAAGTATCCAAAACTGCCAAAGCCATTGATTTTGCTTCAGTCATTGACAGCATGCCGTCACTTGGGTTTCAAGTCAAGGATGTGATATGTGGCAATGATGTGGTTGTATCTCAATCAATGGCTACTTGTAAAAGCACTGTTTCTGCTTCTGAGGCAGTTGAGCAACCAGCTGTGACTGCTGGAGTGCCAGAGCAACCTGATAGAGCTTCTTTTCCTCAATCAGGTCAATCTTCTTTGTCTGATAGTCTTGTGGACGAACAAATGTTTGACTGTGAAAATCCTCAGAAATTATATTCATCTTGTGGTACTGCAAACGCTTGTATTGGTGCTGTGGAAATTAAATCTCCTACATTAACTTCTGAAGCAAAACCAAACAATGCAGATGGTACAGATGGGAATATTGATTTGATTTTGAACGAAATTCATGATTTGCAATCACAGAAGTGCGTGACTAATCGTGAATTGGATGTCGTGCCACCTAATGATAATTTAACATTTCAAGCGTTAGATGTTGGGTTAAATGCTGCTTGTACTGCTAATTCTGAAGTTGAAGTTTCCACAAATTACCAGGATTCAGATATTCCTGCTCCTCACAGTGAAGAGGCTTTGTGTGTGAATGGTTCTGATACACAAATTGATGTGATGGATGAAATTTTTAAAATGCTACCTGTGAAGTGTAAAGAAGAAAAATCTCTGTATTTGAATTCATCATCATTGCATATTTCAGAAAAAGAACAATTCAGGGAATCTGGAGATGATACAGTTGTACTTGCAAATCAGGTTCCTGTTCTGGAGTCTTATGATGGTATGGCGGCGCCTGCAATTGATGATTATTTAGTTGCAAGGCATGGGTCAACGGAAATGACTATGGAAGAGAACGAAAATGGGAAAGCTGATACTGAAATTAACTATCCAGACTCGGTTCAATCTATATCAGGTGCGATTTAATTTTCTTCAGTATGCATGTCCTCTGGTCAATGCCTTTTCTTTTCATTTGATTATGTGGCAGTAAAGTGTTCTGATCTGCTTGGATATGGGTGCTTTTTGTTCTTAAGACGGGCTTGTTACAGTTAGTAATCTGTTTGGGTTGGCTGGCCTGATGGACTTCCGATTACATTTTTAACTGTCCATTGTGCCATTATGTCACCATTTCATAGAGAACGACTTACCAGCTAAAAACATGAATTTTACATACAAGTTCATTCTTCTGCATGAATTTAGCTGCAAAGGGTTGACTGTTAGAAGTTTCATTGCTCAATGAATCATTCATCTGAATGATTTTGTCTCTTTAGCTATCTATCGAATTTCAACATTTGTTTTTGGAAAGTTGATTCTTAGTAAATTTACATCAGTTTTCACCTTCTATGTCGTCCACTCGATTTCATCAGCATCTTTGTAGTAATGCTTAATTGTTTCTTATACATCTATGCAGGGAAACCCAGACCAAAAAGGAAGACTCCTCATCAAGTGAAGTTTCTTCCTCTTAAGCGATTGTTGCATACTGTACCCTTCAAGAAGGCGCAGAAAAGTAAGAAGAAAAATTAAAATGGCATGACTGCAATGATTTTTCTATGTTATTGGTCGACATAGTGAGTTATCAAAAATTAATTTCGGCATATGTGAACTAGGTGAGTGAAGCTTGTTGCCTATTTAGCGTTCTTTATGTTCGTTTTCCCAAATTTTGATCTTGGTATCAGTTTTGTCCCTCTTTGTATGGAATCTTATATGGAGAGAATTCTCTTTGTCAATCATAATTTATGAAAGGTATAAGATCTATAACCTGTGTCTGTTGTAATGCGAGACTCGATTATATGGGACTATGTAGTTCTCGTGTTTTTTTTAAAGTGGGCTCGTTAAGTCATCTTGTGTAGCGAAGCGTGCAGGGACTTTGTAGTGCAAGGACCTTGTAAGACCGAGCAGGTGAGTCCGGCTCCTTCATCCTCTCTGCACATCGACCTCCTACTCTGATCTCCCACAGCCGATGTTCGTTTGAGCAGGATCTGTAACCCCACTTCGACCTCACACCCTGCAACGCCCGACCAACATGGCCTGCTCACTTTCCCTTCCGGTCCACAAAAGTCCACCGTGCCAAACAATGCCTTACTGAACCATCTCCTTCTTTTTTGTATGAGTTTTGAGCGACGGACTTTTGAAGTCCCAAGGAACTTCACACTCCATTGTTAGAAAAAATACCATACAATATCAAGGAACTAGTCAAAGATTAGAGTTGATCTCGAATGCTGAAAAATTTATTTGAAAGACTACAATTTTTTTTTTCCTTTCAAACTCCTTCACCCGTCGGCCTCCAGCTCTGTTTGGGGCTGGTGGCGGCCACCCGTCCAACCTTTCTTTATCCTCCTCCTTGTCTTTCCCCGCACCTATGATTGCCCCAGTTCCCGTCAGGGAACGGTGGAGCAACCCTCTTTTTACGAGTGGTGAATAAAGCTCTGTCTCCGAGCGTTTTGCTTATTGTTCAAGGTATTACACCTCTAATTTGGGGCTTTTGGGCCATGATTTTGGACTCTTCGCTTAAACTCTCCCAGATTTGGCAGTTCTCATCTCACTGGTTTGTTGCTTCAATTCGTATTTCTCTCCGCTCGAAGACAACTATATGTTGTCACCTTTACAAAGGTCGGGGGTCTCTTTGACTCGGTGTTTAAACCCCCTAATTTTTTTTGTTTATGCTTGGATCAGGGCATTTAGATGCCTATTGTGTACGACTGGAATGGGCAAGGTTTCTTTTGATTTGCAAGTTTGGCTTCCTTTCACCGGCGTTGAGACGAAGATGGCCTTGAGTTTAGCTTTTTGCGAAGCAGTTTTATGGATATTCTGTTCACTGGTCGTCTCCACCAATTATGCGGTGGAGGAGGCAGCGGGTGAATCTCCCTTTGGGGTTTTTAGGTACTTCTGTGTGGTCACTTTTGGGCCTTCTGTGTGGGTCTTAACTTTTGGGCTGAGACACATTCTATGTATTTTTTTTTGTTTGGGTATAGATAAGAATCTTTACTCACACGTTGAATGTATAAGTGGCACCTTGTTTATATCTACCCCATATATGGGGCGGTCAGAAAATAATTCTAACCTCTGTCTACAGAGTCTTTATACCATGTCCTTTGGGACTTTGTTATAAAAAAATTCATTGACAAAAAAAGGGATTTTAAAATAACACCTTGAAAGGTAATATATGAAAAATCTTTAGAATGTAGAAATTGCACCGAAGGAGTTTCGCAATAATCGCATAGAACGGCGGTTAGCCAAAGTATTGTAGATCAAATGTTGGGGCCTCTAATCCCTATTTGAGACACATTTTGTAGCAATCCATTCGAATTTTATTTCAATAAATTCGAATCATTTTTTTTTTCAGGTTTTCATTCATAGATCATCTTTGTAAAAAATTAGAGGAATAAAATCACGAAGATATCGCTCTATTTACAACCATTTAATTGATTCGTTAAATGGTTTTGTGTTGAAATCTCTTGAGTTTACTCAGAAAAATATGTGTAGGAATAGGGTGGTGTGAAGAGAATGATCTCTCTCTAAGTGGTTTTGTGTTGAAATCTCTTGAGCTTAATCAGAAAAATATGTGTAGGAATAGGGTGGTGTGAAGAGAATGATCTCTCTCTAGCATTTGGATATCTTGAAGCTAATGCAAAAGCCATGACAATGTTTCAGAATCGTAGACCGTGTGTGTACAAAATTTTGTGAGAATTGCTAAAGAAACTCTCAAAATTAACTTTTTATGAATATTCTACCACCTTATATTTTTAATATAATATTTTGTAATGTTTGCGACAAATATATGTGAAAAATCTCACTCCAAAGGAATCTGTTTAACTTTTCTCAAATTTTGTTACTGCTCTTCATGTGCCGTTGCACTTCTTTCTGGCATCTTGATTTGATAATAGTTGCCTTACTTTATCAAAAGTAATGGTATCACAGTGGTGACAAGACTTTTCTTGTCTTCCTTCCGATCATCCCACCATGATCGCCATCATTTAAGCCTTGCCTTTTCCCTTTTCCGAAACAGTCGGGGGCACCAATTCAAATACTATTGTTTTTTAATTACCTAGCAAAATCAATTTTAACTAAATGAATTTCTTCGAGCGTATTTAATATAATTATATAATTATGTTTTTTTTATAAATTTACTGTCATATTATAAATTTGAACCATATATATCTCACAAGAATCAACCTGATTAATATTGTTATCAAATATTGGTTTGAACCATATATTATATGTCTGACTATTGAATTAGGTCCAATCACTTAAGTGACTAAAGATTGCGTGATCAAACAAGTGTCGACCCTCTACCACAATGGTCAAGAGGGGTGTTGCTCTCTCACCACGACGTGAGTTCAAACCTCGTTGATCATCAATTTAACAAATCTATTATTTGATATATTAAAAAAAAAGGAAAACTAATGAAAAAGGTTTGAAAACTTTGAGTTTTTAACGATAAAGACAAAATAAAGGGTAATGTGAATTGTACGATGATTGACTTTTTAGAAATATGGTTTTTTTGTTAAAGTGAACAGTAACATGAGTTTTTCGTTAAAGTTCCAAAAAAAAAAGTGTTGGGCACTAATGTTTATAGAAACTCAAGGAAAATTACAAATTTTGATAAAGGAAATTTAAAAAATTACGAATTTAATAAAGGAAATTTCAATTTTCAAATATTTGCCCAAAATATGTAGTGCTGAGTGAACTTTTTGGGCTACAGCCTACGAGATTGAATCTTTTGCATTCAAAATGGGTATGACTTTTTTGTAACCTTTATAAATTTAATTTAATTTTTTAATTTTATTATCATAAATGTGTCAATCAATAATTAGAATCATAATTAAAGAGGCCACACCGGAGCAGGAGATTTGATCTCACAGCCTACAAGTGTACTTGCCAAAAGAGATCATTAGCAAGTGTCAACTTCTGTATTGGAGCTAAAGCCTAATGAGATATTATTTTAAAGCAATGTGTGTTTTGCCTCGTTTGACATAATGGTTTAACCACGAGCGGCCGACAAAAAATGAAGAGCGCCGTCCTAGAGTTTGCCTCAAGAACCATATATAGCCTTTGGTTAAAAGAAAAGGTGGGATAATTGAGATCCTAATCATTCTAAATTATGTTTAAACATACTAATTAAGTAAGCACCCTTCATCATTCGGTAACATGAACGACCAAATGAGTAGCATAAAGATTAGTTATAAAACTTGGCCTTAATTGTAAACAAATTAATGAAGTGGTGTATGGCTTGTAAAGATGATGCAAGTGGATTATGGAGCTACTCGAGCCTTGACCATGCTCTAGCTTTTAGTGTTATTGGGTCGGTGTCTTAAAGCTTAGCTCATAATTAAGGACTTGTTTTATAAGCGTATAATGAAAAGCCTAATTTTAAAATATAGCCAAGACTTCTTTTCGAATTGCTTGTGTAACAAGTGCTTATGATCATAAGAAAATTTTCAGAAAGCACTTTTATATTGATGACATGTCAAAATTTAGTGAAAATTCAGGTACTTTTTCTGATAACTAAGTTTTTTTTTATCCAGTAACGTCAGAAACATTTTTAATTGTCTAAGGACACTTTAATTGACTTGTATATATAGACTTGAAAGAGTCTTTTTTCCTAGTTAGATACATAGGTTCTGTTTATGGACTTCACTCGCATGTTGACGAATGTGTACACTACTAATTGGCAGGTTGAATAGATTAAACTTCTCTTTGCTTTTCGAAAATATGAGGTTGATTGAGATGACAACGATAAGTACTTATGATGCCCATTTTCCTTCTTTGTCGATGATGACTCTCGTGTGTATTGAGACATACTGTACACCTGGTGATATAACTGATGATCACATTCCAATTACCAATTGGGAAACTTGCATGTGGTGAAGTAACTGATTCATTCCTCGCCTCAAATAACATAGAAGATAATATATGAGATATGACTGATTGATTTGCTAGGCATATTGGTTGGGCTTGTGCCTATCTCTTCAAGTAATTTCATTCCTCGCCTCAAAAAAAGCATAAAGTGGAGAGTTTTGTGGTCCTAGAGATTGATTAAGTTTCACCGAATAAGAAAATAAAGCAGAAATCGTGTGCTACTTTGAGCTTATATACACTGCATGTAACTCGATGGTGACTGTCACCATTGCTATTTAATCGCTCTTTTTTCTGTTCTTTCTCAATGAAAATGACTTTGTTTTCATCTGGAAACACTAAAGTGAAGCTTGAGCACGACCTTAATTAATTCTGTAGAAGCTAAAACTTCACCCTTGATTAATTAAACTCTTAAACATTGTCATTAAGTTTAACAATACAATCACCTATATTTACATGAACTAGTACTTCAAGCTAAATAGCGCTTAATTAAAGTACTGCATTCTGCATAATAATAATAATTAAAGTTCAAATCAAGCAGCCCCAAATTTGCCTAGCTACTTGCTAAACATCAGGCATGGGACATAGAGGTGGTCCTATGTTGCTAGCTAGATTATGGAATTAGATTCGATTGAAGAAAATGCATCAAGAAGGTTGATCCAACTATCGTCCTCCTCCTCATCTTCTTCCCCACTCATGTTGCTCCATTGAACATTTGAATTCTTCTCAATTTCGTCGTTCCTAGCAAACCGGCCTCTGATGCGCGGCCGGCTGTCCGCCAATGTCTTCCTACAAGCATACTGAATACAGAAATAATGGTAAGTTTTAGTGCTTCTTTATTAAGGGAAAGAAAGGGGAAAGAAGGAAATTAAACGTTTAAGGTTCAAATGTAGTGATATATAAAAGAGTAACAAGGTGCCCTTACTTCTGTAAGTTTAATTATTTGACATAAGGAAAAGTGGTACCCTTTTCTTAAGATATGAGGGACTCATCCAGCAGAAGTGGTTAATTAATTCAGACACGTTTTGTTGCTACTTAATCACTTTGTTCAATCAAATGGGGTAGGGTATGTGTAACATTAATTTCCAGGTAAAATAAAGTACTTGATGATCTAAGTGTAAAAAATACCAATACCACTCTATCTTGGGAAAGTTTACAATTTCAAATAGACGTCCAAGAGTAAGACAGTGTTGAACGTCTGTTAATAGGACTTGCAAAGACATAAAAATGGAAGAAAGCTGATTTGCAATAATTTATAAAATTGAAAAAAAAAAAAAATTGGTTAGCAGAAAGGTACAGAGTTTTGGAAGAGGATGATTGTGATAAATGTTTAAATTTAGTGCAGATTATCAGTTGTATAAAAAATAAATTATAAACCTACTCCGTTATATGAGATGACACCTCATATATCTCTTGTTATTTTATTCATACACAAGAAATAGACTCGAATGATACATACTTGATGAACTACATAATCATTACGGTAGATGCTCATTTCACTACTTGCACGTAGAAATGATTGCTTTATAATTTATGCGCACTCAAATGTTTAAGTACAAGGAATGCCACCTAACTCTTGCTTATGGAGTAAAGACAGTAGAATATAGGTTTAATCTTTTCCATGCACAAGTCATTCTACTAGTTTACAGTTTAGTTGTCATTTCATGCATTTTCAAACAACCACTCAATTAGTCCATTATAGAGCTAGGCTAAGCTAGCTAGCTCCCAAAAAACTCAAGTGTCAAACATGCACTACCATATCCTTTCCACTATTTGAGATGAAATTTAAAAAATGTAGGATGTGACAGACGCAAAGCATGGAATCATACATATATAGTAGGCACAAGGAGTAAAAGTAGCCTAAATTTACAAGAGATAATGAAATCACTGTGTGAAAAATCGTGTGCCAAAAAGCAACAAGAACTAGGCTACCATACATATAAAATCTTAAAGTGGAACTAGTGGGTCAATTGGATCAACCAGCAACTAGAAGTCTAGGAGAAAGATATATATAATATTTGGCTTCTTTTATTTAAGGTCTTTTCTTTTTTAGGACAAATATAGTTTGACGTGAATATAAAAAATTTCTTTTTGTAGGGTCTTGTCAATATATATATATATATATTAGTAATTTGTAGTTCAGGAGAAGTGATTGGTTGTTGTATACCATGGGGTACCAAGCAATTTGCAAATCAAAGGAAATAATTAAATAGTGAATTAACTGAAGTAGAGTGGTATGACCTTAATGGTCTTGTTGAAGTTTCTTTGGTTGCGCTTGCTTCTGTACCTCTCAATTCTCTCTTTCTTCTCCTCGGGACTGTACGGGCAAGCTTTGCTCATCCCTTCTATGATCATACTGCTCTCACTCGACAGCGGACTACTTTCTGATGATCTGTTATAACCACCATATTGCAATTGCTGTACCACTTGTACCCCGTTACTATGCATGCTATTGATCGTCTGCATGCATCCACAATGTTTTGACACAAAAACACACAATTATATTAATTCCAGTAAAACCCTACAACCCCACAGGTAACACATGGGAAGCAATTACGGAAAATATTCTCTTAGTTCTAAGCTTTGAAAGTAGGGGGCAAGCCTAAGCCCCACTTCTAACACGCAGATATATATATAGAATATATAGAAGTAGGGTAATGTTAGGGAGACTATATTTTTAAATCAAATTTTGTAAACCAAATTATGTGGATGTTGATGATTGAATTATTACTTAAGTATTGATTAACATACTTATTTTATATTTGTGACACATCATTTAGTTTACAAATTTGATTTCCCTAACATTATCCATAAATGTATATTAGAACAATTAATCAATGATCATGTAAATTTTTAGTATTGAATAGAGGAAATTATGTTAATTATGTCAGTCCAACATAATAATAGTCTCGGAACATGAGTATTTGTCTAATAATTAATATAATCTGCTAGGAATGTTACGTTTAAAAAATCACTCATGCACAAAGCACACTAACATAAACGTTAACGTGGCTCTCTTAATTTAGGTGTAGTATGAAACTACGAACTTAATTTGCATGGAGATTAGTATTTGTGAATGTAACGATGCAAAATGGCAGATAAGAAATAAACTTGGGCATTTAGTCATTTTAATGAAGCAACTAAGTAACAAACTAGAGAACTCTCGATGTAATCGAACCTGCAAATCCAAGTCCCCAGTGCTATACACCCGGCGGACCGGGACGGTCTCTGACTCCAGCAAGTCGGAGACCTGCTTGTGGGTCCCGCGAGTCTTCTGCAGTGAATGGCTGCTGACGCTGCGCTGAATCAGGTTCGGGGCCGGGTTTCCGTAGCACTCGTGAGCCCTGTGGCTGATCGGCGAGGCTCCGTGGCTGCTGGAGCCGCTGCTACAGCTGCTGCTGAACTCGGAGGAGACAAGGTGGTCGTGATGGTACTGCAATGGAAGAGCCTCATGCGAGCCCTGATGATACTGAAAATCGGGGGCGCATGGGAATGCGGTGCTGTTGTGACCGTACATTGGCGCGTGGGGTAAGTAGGGTTTTAGGAAGGTTTTGGGAGTTTATATTCTAATGAGTGCAGTGAATATTGGAGAGGTTGGAGAGATGGATAGATTTACGAATGTGGATGGAAGGCTGGGACTTTGTGGGGGTACTTAAAGGGAGGAAGAGTAAGGGGTGTGGGCCCCATTGAGAGCAGAAGAGATGGGACGGGAGAGACTGCAAGGTGACGTGGATGCTGATGTCATGCTTTCCGGTAAAGCATTGACATGTGTTTTAACTTCTTCCACTAGTAGGGTTTGGGATCGTTGGCTGTGTGTCTAAAGATTGAGTAATGCTAGAAAGATAACTAATGAAATACCAAGGGTTTTATGCATAATAAAATTTTCATCATTCTTTTATAGCTAGACGAATTGATTCAATAATAAAAAATTCCTCTTTTTAATAAATTCATGTGCCATCAAATTTATAAACTAAATAATGTGTTACTAATAGAAAATTAGTACGTTAATCAACGTTTAAGTAATAATTAAATCATTAACAACCATATCATTTGGTTTGCAAATTTGATTTAAAAAATTTAATCTCCCTAGCATTATACCTAAAAATTTGTATAGTGCCTATTTTTGCATAATCTATGGATGGGAGGCTTGGATTTTTGGTTTTTGGGTTGCCAAATTCTTTGTATTTGTTTTTGTTATCAATTAAAGAAAGGTTATTACACTTTAAAATTTTAATATTTATTTATTTTATTAAGAAAGAGTGTAAAATGTCTTTTTAAAGTTAAAAAAACAATTCTCAATAAATATGTGATAAAGCATCCACAAGTCATATTATTGCATGATCACAGAACTTTTTCCCATTTTAAAAAAGAAGACATTTCTTTGATCACTATGACATCACTTTGTGGTTATTGTATATTCTCATATGCCGAGAATCCACTCGACCCCTCTCTTTCTCACTTATTACGTAAAAGAGAGATGTTTTCTCGATGTACAGAAGCTTTCCACCATTTTGCGAGAGATATTTCAGTGTGCTACATGGTACTGGTATGTCAAATGTTATAAGACAAGTAGATAAATTAGGGGTACAAGTTGGAATGATATTTCTGGTTTAGACAATAAAATTCGAATATGAATCCGTACCATGATCAAAGAGATATAGCATTACCATTTCCTTCCGAATTCGAATATTTTTCGAAAAATTGAACTAATTTTGATAATTTCGAATTTTTGATCCGAATTTTTCTAAAATATTTTGAACTTACACTGAACAAAAATTTCTGAAAACGTCCAATTTTTTATAATTAAATACTCAAAGCATATATTTTGCAATCAATTTTTGTATTTTAATAATGGTAATTTTGGATGCATTTTTTTTCATGGTTATTATAGTAAACATACACGTGTGCATGTGTATATATATTAAAAAAGATAAGTGTGGGAGCAAATTTCTATTCCTGATTGAATTGATGAAAATCTATGCACACAAAGAAAAGAGACAAATAGAGTTAGACTAACATAAATATGGTGCTAGCCAAAGGGCTTTCAATGCCTAAGTCAAAAAGATTGCTGGAAGTAATAAGAATGTGGTGAGAATGCTTGATTACCATAATAAAGTGGCTATCCTTGGCTCTCAAGGTTCTAAAAGAAGTTAGGCACTACTCGGGCGGCGAGTTAGGGCTTAGCGTCCAGGCGGCTAGGCAGGCTTCTAGGCGGATTTAAGTAAATCTATTGTATTTCATGTAAATAAGTGTATGTTTATACTTAAAATGTATATAATTTCATCAGAAACTAGAAAATAGAATGACATATATATATTATGAAGTATTGGAACATAATGAAAACGTGGGGAGCAAACATGTAATGTGCATTGTAATCCTAAACTGAATAGGTTTTCCACCTCTTCTGATTAGCTTGGGTAGCCATGACATACTACTAGGTGTCACTCATGGTTTGTGGAAACCCTAAAGGTGTATATTCACTAAAAGGAGAATTGAAAATATGTTTCAATTCGTAATCGATTTGAAGAGTTCTAATCACCCACTGACTCGCTAAAAGGAACCTAATGGATCGTACACCATGTAAGATAAAGATTGAAGAAACAACGAAGATGAGTAAGGATAATTAAATTTAATTATTTATGGCTAGGATTAATTAATATGTTAATTAATCAAACGAATAAGTTCGTTTTAGCTTTTGAGTAATTATTGGACCTCAAGGCCCATTGGGCTTAGAACCGTCAAACCCATTAACTTAAGTTGTATGACAACTTAATGACTAAAGACTCAAAAGGGTCCAAATAACCCAAAGCCTTTCAAAGGCCGGCCATATTACGGATGAAAGGTTTTTTTTGTTCTTTTGTCACTTAATTGAAGTGACTATATAAAGGACTTTATAGCCAAAAGTCATTAGGGTTCTCTCTTGAGGAAATTGGAGAGAACAAAAGCTCTCATTTTCTCTCTAGGAGCCCGGCCCCCCCTTGGAGGGATTTACTAGTATGAATTCTCCTCCAAGGTCACTCATCTCTTCTTCAAGTCCCTCCTTGGTGTGGAAACTTAGAGGTTCCCTTTCTTCGGAACTTATAGAATCCATTCATCCATCCTCCTCCAAGAAATCCATGGAGCTAAGAATTAAGGAATGAAGGCACTCTCTCTTGGGTGATTAGCCTTTACTTATGCAAAGAGGATTCAACAAAGGTATAATATTTCTCAACTCACTTTATTCTTGAGTTGAGTATTGGTTCACCACAATTACTAGGCCTTGAATTTCATGAGTAAAGTTTTGTTTTTGAGTGCATACAAGCATGATTCCACATTTTAATTGTTAATTGCATGCATAGATGTTACTCAAATGCACTAGTTTTCACAAATATTTTCCTTCAGAATCTACCACCAAATTACCCCGCGTGCATCCACATACACAATAATGTACCAATGCCATTATGCGTGTATACGACATCGTCCAAACACATAATTCACTAATTTAGTACGAACGTACGTCCCTACACAAAAAGAAACTGTACCAATGTATTAATATTAATGATCTACTTTCTATCCATGGGTTGATGCAAGACGAGCTAACAGTCTCAATGAGACGGGGGTAGATAACCTGAGAATCACTCAACCAAGGATAACAGAGTTTGTTCGACGTTACTAATTATGGATTCACTTGACGCGATCAAGTCAAACACTTGTTTCTGGAGAAGAAAAGACTCACTTCTTAAATTAATTTTAAAATTTACTGAATGACTTCTTTAGAGGTGCATATAGAGCCATTTAACTAGGAAGATTACGAAGCATCAGTAGAATAAATAGTTAAGACTAGGGTAGTTATTGGGCAACTCAATTAAAAGAGAGAAAAAACAATGCATTGACGTACACTACAACATTTATTCCAATTTATGACGAGCAATGTGATCATTACAAGTAAATGATATGCAGCTTGGGGTCAATTGTTTTCCAGATTGGGATCTACCCCAATTGTGGTTGAATACCATAGTGACACAGGTTCTATGAGTTCATGGATTGAACAATGTTGTGGGCAACTTTATAAAGACGGAAAATCTGTCCTTTTTTTTTTTTGGACGAAGAGGTAAAATCTGTCCTTGACATCCATTATGTTTGTGAAACATTCTGTTTTTGCGATATTAAAAGAAAACAATTGGAGCAAAGAACTTTCTCTCATATGATTGCAAATATTATCTCTACTCTTTTTAAAGTAATCAATATCAAGAAGTGATTTGGAAGTTTTATGTGCATTATTAGAAGGTGATTAGTGTTAGCAAGAAAGGATTAATGCGTGCATGTTATATGAGAATGTTAAAATTATTTGGAGTGTTTTGCTTCTTAAAACTTTTCAAGGGTTTTGAATTTATTGGTGTTAAATTGGATGCAATGGAAAAAACTAATTTGGCTTCTCAAAGATCTAGGAAAAAGAAATTCAATTTAAACTCAAAGAAGATTTTCTTCAGAGAAGAGGAGAATGATGCTGAAAAGATCCCATTAAAGGAGAGTCATAGGAATTTGAGTTTGAATGTTGTCATAGTTGTTCTAGGAGTTGTAAGGGTGTTATAGAAACTTGAGGCTTGTTAACTTGTAAACCGTTATAAATATTGTATTAGAAAGCCTTGAATGGTAGACTTGATTGAATGAAAGTACATTTGCTTTGCACAATTGAAGTGAGTGAATGTTTCTTCCTTAAATCAAGTGTTTGGCTTAATCGTGTAAATGAATTTCTGATTAGCGACATCAAACTACCTTCGTTGCCCTTGATTGAATGATTTCCATATTAACTATCCCTGTATCCTCAAGACCTTTCGATTTTTTTTTTTTTTTTTTTTGCTTCAAGGGTTTATTACCATCTAACTATTAATACAGGATCCGTGCATGACGTCTTAATTACTCAATTGTGCATATAATATGGCCTAGTATTGCCTAAACCATGATACTTGTCAAGACTTCGAAAAATAATAATTAAAATAAGCAACATTTAGCAAGCAATTAACTTAATTAGATTTTAACTAACTTTTTTACTTGCTTATCTCTCCATATAGCTACATGGTGTGCCAATTTTAGTTGGAGAATAGTATCTCATTGATAAAATAATATACAATTAATATATGGGAGTTTCCGTCTCTACTATCACCAAGACTTTTTGTGTTAAAATACAACACCAATAAATAGGTGGTTAACTTAATTGGACAATACTAGTGTTGTTCATGGTGGATCATGTTGGGTGTAAAAGGTTTATCATGGTATTAGAGCATACTATTCTTTCGACACTTCCTGGCCTTGATTTTTGGGCTCAAATTTGCCTCCTTAAGTTGGATCTTCGAAAAGTTGAGCTAGCTCCAACTTAAGAGTATTGACTGCATAACTGGGCCTTCGTAAAGTTACGTTGGCTCTAGTGAATGATGATGACCATGCTCTTGAAAAGTTGTTTAGCTTCGGTATAATGGATTGACTAGTTCCCGATGTGGGAATTGGTTTATTGTGTGAGACCACTCGTGAATGACTGTGTTGGAGTATAGGATCCCATATTGGGCATATGACTAATAGTATATTACTAATATTGGGAGTTTTTCACTCTTAATATCACTGAGGTCTATTGTGATAAAACCCAACACTTAGCA